CTGTTCACAGATGCTTGAGTGTCTCAACGTATAGTGGCGTACTATTTTGTGTGTTGTGTGTGGCGTGTATATATTGGAGTTTCTATGATATAATTATTACACAACGTTGAAAAAATTATGGCATTTTTACATGAAAAAAATATATTGAATATATGTATTCTGTTTTAAAGCACCCACTTTGTGATTATTTTTTTATGAGGTCTAGATATGATAACTATTTAAGGTCGAGATATTTAAAGAAATGGATGGTTTTATAGAATTAAATTAAAGATGCCATTTACGGTTTATATGGATAGCCATGTAATCATTGAAACGTGTTTTGTTGTAGAGTTATGTTAGCAATTCACTGCCATTCTTGCAATGTTTCATAAACTGACTAGAATCAAATAGGAGTATCAGGCACGTAACAACAGGGGGCAGGGGCCTGCCCCCCTTTTTTCCAAATATAACCTTTTACTATTGAAAGTGTTCATTGAAAGGCCAGTTGCCCCCTCCCCCACTTTTTGTAAGAGTAAGCTAGGGTCAAATAAGGGTAATGTAGTATATTAGGAAGAAAATTTGGTACTGAAATAAGTTGAACCTAACCCCCCCCCCCCCCCCCATCCACTTCTCCTCCCTAAATAGGATTTTCGATTTTGGTCAGTTTCCTTTATTTTCTTGTCAAGATTTTTTCAGGTAGGTTGAATTTTTTTCTCTGGTTGCCCCCCCCCTTTCAAAAACGATGCTACTTCACTGAGGTGAGTCTCGTAGTAGTACGTAAAGGGATTTTCAGAATCGTCTTTTACCATAGAATATATATATGCTTTCAACCAATTTGGACACAGTATATCCGTACCCATAGTAACAAGACTTTTCCCTGGGTATAATTATTTTTTACCTTGACCTTTGTTTGACCCACTTTTAAAAAATATTAATATTGGTCATAACTATTGAACAGTTTGCACTAGGGCTTTTAAATTTCACAATTTTTTTTTTCTGACAAGGCATTCCTTTTGGGTATATCAACAATTTTGACCTTTTGATTTTGACCTTAGTGTTTGAACTGCTTTTGGAAAACTTAGCCCTTTGCCATAGCATTAGAACAATTGGTGCAAGGACTTTTATATTTTGCATCCGCTTTCTTATGACCATTAAGGACTTGCGTTCCATTTAGTTTGGCTCTTCGATCTTGACCTTTATGTTTGATTCACGTTTAGAAAACATGAACATTGACCATAACATTAAAATGGTTAGTGTTTTGGGCATTCATATTTTCCAGGTATGTCCTCTGACTTATAAGTCCTTTCTTTGGGTAACAACATTTTCGATCTCTTAACCTTGGAATTCGATTAGCATTTTTAGAAACTTTAACATTCGCCATACGAGGGTATCAGTGTTTCGCAAACACATCTTGTTATATCAAGAGACATAAAAAGTACTTATGTCATATAATATACATTTTGCTTGTCAACTTTTTCAGGGGTATCTTCCTCTCACTTTAAAAACCGTTGCCTGACGTGTCGATGAATTCACTGTATTGATATACGATACCTAATACTTCAGGGATCCGGACAGGCATACTAAACAGATCGACCTTTGCCCTTTTCAAATTCACACGCATGATATGTATAGTTAATACATGTACTGTATGTCACGGGGGAGTGAATTTATCACATTTATTTTATCCTGTGTTAATGTCACATATGATGTTCTTTGGGTCATTTACTTCCGAAATTTTCAACAAAAGAAGCAACTTAGATCATGTTTGAGAGCTTTCGACTCTCGACTAAATATGTGTTTCTTGAGATACATGTGTAATATGGATCTCTTTTATGAAATAAAAATTCACCGATTTCATTTTAGGTCTTGTGGGTAACTCGGGGGATCGTCATCTTGCGTCGTTCGTAAAATTTGGAATATTTTTAAGCTGGTATGGTATGATTTGTTTTTTGAAATCACATAATCGTTGAATAATACTGTACATGTATTTAGTTCAGTATTACATAAACTGTTACATGTATCCTTGTTCTGGTCACGATTAACCGTGAAGTTCTCACTTCTCAACGACCAGTTCCTGAAGGGAAACAAGGGTAGACCAGGATACAGCCTAAGGGGATAGCATCTTATGGGTAACCATGGAACTCTATATATACGGAGTTATCAATTCACACACGCTGTCAGCCTTGCGAAGACTTTTCGATGTTTTACTATTGTTTAAGTAATTTTTGTAATATTTTTCTGACCCCTACATTGCGGGACGTCGGGCATGGTTCAGTTGTATAGGAATGTTCCAAGGGCCAGATGGATGAGTGCATTTACCGATGAACACAACAGCTTACCGGGACGTGTATGCTTGCTTTTAACACGTATATACAGAAGCCTACCGGTACGTTTGTGTTTTTTTTAAAGAAATGTATTAAATTGTTTTCCAACACATGAATTCTTGTTTGTAAGAAATAATAGATATACAATTTTATATACAATTTTATAATACATGGATATAAGTCAATCTATAGAACAAAAACAATTGTGTTTACTTTTGAAACTCTACCTCGTATCTTTGATAACTAAGTAAAGGCTAAAAAAAAGAACTAAGGCGAAATGGCGAATTTCTTATATACTAATGTATAAACAAAACTTGTACATGTTTTAGTGATTTTTAGTGAATCACAGTTAAAAAAAATAAACATATCTGTCATGTTGATTTAGTACGACATTTTCACTTGGAAAAATAACGATCTGGAAAGCAATAACTATTATGTACTTCCTGTATAAACCCAAGAACAACAAAAAATTGGACGGGCATTTTTTTCTGGTTTTTCCGTTTAAATTGTGTACATAACCTTAACAAACGTGGATGACACAAACACGTAAGTTAAATATTTTTTTTAAAAATCTTTTTAAACCCACGAATAAGGTACAGTGTATCTATAATTAAAAAAACAATGTGGTATAAACTTAAAATCTACATATAACAAAACCCCCAGTGTAACATTTAATACATCGTTTCCTGCTTCATCATGAATCAAAGCAAACAAAGAGAAGTCCTCTTCCGTATACACATGTATGATTACATACCGGTAATATGTAAATTATACAAAAACACGTTTCTTACATTTCTGTAATTTTTTAGGAAATCTTGGGTTTTATATTTGATGATATGACAAGGAATACACGGTGGGGTGTGACCGGTTGACAGGGGATGCTTACTCCTTTATTATTTCTGTGAGGAGCACACTGTGGGGCGTGACCGGTTGACAGGGAATGCTTACTCCTTCATTATGTCTATGGGGAGCACACGGTGGGGTGTGACTGGTCGACAGGGAATGCTTACTCCTTCATTGTGTCTGTGAGGAGCACACTGTGGGGCGTGACCGGTTGACAGGGAATGCTTACTCCTTCATTTTATTGAGAGGAGCACACGGTGGGGTTTGACCGGAGGATGTTTACTCCTTCATTATGTCTATGGGGAGCACACGGTGGGGTGTGACCGGTTGACAGGGGATGCTTACTCCTTCATTTTATTGAGGGGAGCACACGGTGGGGTGTGACCGGTTGACAGGGAATGCTTACTCCTTCATTTTATTGAGGGGAGCACACGGTGGGGTGTGACCGGTTGACAGGGAATATCTTTTTCCTTCATTTTATTGAGGGGAGCACACGGTGGGGTGTGACCGGTTGACAGGGGATGCTTACTCCTTCATTTTATTGAGAGGAGCACACGGTTGAGTGTGACCGGTCGACAGGGAATGCTTATTCCTTCATTATGTTTTCGAGGAGCACACGGTGGGGTGTGACCGGAGGATGTTTACTCCTTCATTATGTCTATGGGGAGCACACGGTGGGGTTTGACTTGTTTACTCCTTTTATGTTTAATGTCTGTGTTTACTCCTTCATTATGTCTATAGCACATGTATGCGTGACCGGTTGACTTTGTTTGCTTATCTTCATTTTATTGAGAGGCAACACACGCCTTGGACAAGTTGCATCAATTCTTTAACACGGTGGGGTATGAAGGTTACTAATGCTTTATTCATTTTATGTGAGAGTTCTAGCACACTAGTAGTACAATCATTTATTCTCTTTTCTATTACCAGTGAAAGGATGTTACAGTAACTTTAAATTTTGTTTCACATTTTATTATACCACACGGTGGGGTGTGACCGGTCGACAGGGAATGCTTACTCCCTTATTTAATGTCTGTGTTTGCTCCGTTCCCATACACTGTATGTATTGCTCCGAGAGACTTTGTTTATTATCTTCGTGTTGGCTCACATGCAACCACGCCTTGGACAAGTTGCATCAATTCTTTAAATGAGTATTAAGGTTACTAGCTTTATTAAGTATTTGACTGTGAAGTTCTAGTATACTAGTAGTACAATCATTTATTCCCTTTTCTATTACCAGTTAAGAAAGGATGTTACAGTTACTTAAAATTTTGTTTCACATTTTATTATACCTAACGCAACAAGATGCGGGAGGTATAATGTTTTTGACCGGTCCGTCAGTCAGTCAGTCAGATTGTCAGTCAGTCAGTCCGTCAGTTCTGTTTTCTTTTTTTGTCAGCGCAACTCCTCATAAACCGCTGCACAGAATTTGATCAAACTTTGCAGATACTAGTAATTAGGACACAATGTGTAGACGTGCATATTACCAGGAAATTTCGATTCCTTTATTTTTTCCGGGAATTTCCGCACTTTCCAACTTAGATTTTTGGCAATACCTTGATTAAAGATATGAACAGTTTGCAAGCGTATCCCCTCTTTAACCGCCGCACGGAATTTGGTCAAACTTTGCAGATGTGTAGATGTGCATATGATCAGGAAATTCCGATTCCTTTATTTTTTCCGGGATTTTCGGCACTTTGAGTTTTGGGGGAGCGTGGGGTATGTGAGCTTGCTCACTTTTTCTTTCATTGCTGAGGAACTGAGAAAAAAAAATTTATTCAGGTTTTTCTCCTGCTTGAATGCTTTATAGTAATATGAAGCTTACATGGTCCATGCATTCAAACCGCGCGAGACTATCAAATTAGAATTCCGCATTTAATCAGCCATAAAGAGTGAAACACGACACAAAGGTCAATGGCTGTCTTCTTTTTTGAATGTCTTTAAAACACGATGATTTTAAAATATTTGCATCGATCCCCCCAAAAGTTATTTATAACCCGGGAGGACCCATTTTACCCAGATTGAATGTGAAAAAAAGAAAGGTGTGAAACGGGCATGTGATTTAAGTAATCAGTTTTAGGAAAGAATATCTTAAACAAATGGTGTAATACGATCGCTCAGAAAATGCTGAAAAAATATTTGCTTGGAGTAGTTTAAACTTAGGGCGTCGTTGGGCAAGAACAAGTAACTTTTGTGAGAAGTTGGTACGTAAAATTATGTTTTGAATACACGAGGGATAAAACATTTTAAAGGAATACCAATATTTAAATGTAAAGAATTATTAATGGATTAATTCCAGGTACATGTGTGTAAAAGTGGTTCAATTTAAAAGAATGCTGTCCATAAACTAGTAAACGTATACATGTAGTTCATTACAAATGACTTCCGCATTGAGTATGATAATTTCGAAATTTACCTCAAAGATAAAAGCTTCTGTTTGAGAGTGATCGGATTGCCCATCAGTACACTGTACACTCCACGCCTCCTGTTGCTCAGCTTTGTTTGTTATCGAGAACAAAATAACTCGGACAACATTTATAGCAGCTGAGACCTCCAGTGATTGTCAAGTTATGAGAGTGAATGAATAGAGTGAGTCTAGACAGTGTGGTCATTACGATTCTTGTCAAAGTAAGTCATTGATTAAAAAGAGTAAATTAAAATTTTATCATTTTCTTCCATTTTAAAAATGAAAATGTTTACAGGGCCAGTAAATAATGTATTTTTATACCGCCCTTGGGGGATTGAGCTTTTGAAAACCAATAGTTTATTGTGATAGTACTGAAGAAAAAAATGACAATTTTAAATTCTTAGTTATGTGCAGAATGTACGAAGTTTTATTTTATTACCGAACATGATTACCTTGGTATTTGACCCATAATATGTATTGCAGGAATAAAAATTACAGTTAAACAGAACTTATTCAAAAGAGGAAACACGTTATAAAATGCATTCCACTTACGTGTATATATTCAACATTGTATATTTGAATACTGCAGAAACTAAACAACATGTATTAAGAGACCATCTGTCATAAGTGAACTTTTTTCCTTTCTTCGTTGGATGGTCTATTTTAAAATATAGGTATATGATTGTATTCTTTTTAGGCACTTTTCGGTTGCCCTGTGAATATGTGGTTGCATATATTGTATAAAGCTGTGCTTGGAGAAAATCAGGAGATGAACCCAGATGATTTTTAGTACATGCTAATTATTTTTTCTAAATATTGCAAGAAATGGCACCTTAAGGTTAATAGTAAGAAAACAAAAGTTGTAATATTTGGAAAAGGGAAAAATAATGGCCCTTAAATACATTTGAAGGCTCCAAGCTTGATATAGTCGATAACTTTAAATATTTGGGTGTTACATTTTGTAAAAGAAATTCTTTTAATCTAAATACCAAAGAATTATATGATAAAGCTACTAAAGCTATGTACTGTGTTATTGGTAGATGTAGAAATCATAACTTATCAATTGATTGTAAATTAGACATGTTTGATAAAATTGTCAAACCAATACTTTTATATGGATGCGAAATGTGGGGTTTTCACAATATTAAACCACAGTGTAATAGAGAAATTACACATAAAATTTTGTAAACATATTCTGAGCTTGAAAACATCAACACCAAACTTAATGGAGAACTTGGTAGACACCCTTTATCAATAATTGATATCAAAGTTAGAACGATCTCATTTTGGGGTAAACTCATTAATGCTCAGTGCTCTAAATTGTCAGCAAAACTTTTATGTACATTGAAATTATATAAGAATCCATGGTGTGACAGAAAATTTTAAATAAATGTGGATTGACTTATGTTTGGTATGAAAACTCAATTAATATATCTTGGCTTTAAAATAAAGTATATACCACTCTTTTAGATCAATTTAAACAAACATGGCTTAGTAAAGTGCAAACTTCCCCCAAAGGTTTGAACGATAGAATTTTTAAAAAATCATTAATCTTTGAAGACTATTTGTTGAATTTGCCTCCAAAACAATCCAAGAAATATTGTTTATTTAGAACTGGGAATACAAAATTACCAATGGAGACTGGTAGATGGTTTAACATCCTTAGAGAAAACAGAATTTGTAAATTATGTAACAGCAATGACATTGGGGATGAATTTCATTACTTATTTAAATGCACTGATGTGTCTATAAAGAACTCAAGAGTCATGTATTTGTCAAAATATTTTTATTTGAATCCAAATATTTTGAAATTTGAAATGTTTATTTTGAATGTAACCAATACTAATCAACTCTGCACGATTTGTAAATTGTTAGATATTATAATTGAGAGAGTTAGCTCTCTTGGTTGATATTACTCTGTTGTCCCTTCTTCATGCATTTAATATTTCATGTTCATTATACTGTACATATCTTCTCTTCACTGTTTTGTCAGTTATGAGAATAAAGTTCAAGTTCAAGGAGCCATACAAAGGTTGTAAGCCGCAAGAATACTTAAAACAATTAGTTAATTGGGTAAATTATGCAAACTAGAAGATGATGGTCTGCTCTAGAGCTGTTTCCCTTGTAGAAGTAGAGAGTCGGGTCCCGTATGGGCATTTTCACAAAGCTTTTTTCTTGTAATTGTATTCGAAAACTCACTCGGTTCTTACTCTATGAAAATAATTACTGTAAACTGATTTAACAATAAATTATAATTATATCCCCATTAGGTAAGGCTGAGACTTCCTAGATCCTCGCAATATAACTCTGCTCAAGATTACGCATTTAATAGTGTTTATATAGGAATTTAAGTCTGATTTTTATTTAGGTTGGATAACGCCCTTTTTGAGACAAGTACACTAATGGTAAAGGCCACACAATTTTTGCGATTGTGACGTTTAAGCTCTAAAATGTACATATATTTAGAGACAGTATATCCACATTTATTTAGCATTGTTTCAGATGAAAAGTGTGTGTAGTATAAAATAATGATTCCTTAAAATTTGTTTCAAGCCAAAGGAAACAATTAATGGAATTGATCAACAAAATGAATTTTTCATTAAATGAATAAAAAGGACTTCTTATTAAGTTTTGTCCATTCAAGCCCTATATCATAAACAAAGTACATGTACATATGTTAAAACTATCTTGTCCATTCACGCTCGAAAGATGAAGAACGCGTAAGAAATTAATTTAATTAATCTGTTTGTGGTAGAAAACAGTGGTTTAAAAACTAGAAAACCTTCACTATTTTCACAAGACCAGTCTTGACGAACAGCGGGGGGTATGTAAATCAGCTGCTAATTGTAAAATCGTTGTTAGAAGTTGTGTAATATCGACGTTGGGTATTATTATACATACAATCAAAGAACTTCAGTCGTAAACAGTTATTTATTGACACTGGGGCCAAAATAAAAAATACCTTTGTTTCCCCTAACGCGACCGACCCAGTTAAATCGCGCCGACTGAAAAGATTTTTTAAATAAGATGATTCAAATATTTTTTTTATTGTTAACCAAGTTTTATAAAATACAATTTCATCAATATCAGTTTTTATCAAAACGGCCGACATTGTTCTACTGTGATTTTCAAGCATTTGTTGGAAACAAAATGACGTCCAGATGTGATTACAAGGCATTAGCTCTTCATAAAACAATGGCGACGTCTCAATCTTATGCTTTTAGCTAATTGGAATTCTTCACTCTTGAAAACAATTCGATAATAGAATTTACCATGACTAATTAAGTGTGTTTCGGAGGTGCCTTGGCGTCTCCATGTGAGTGAATAAATTTCCGAAAGGGACGTTAAACAACAAACAAACAAACAAAAACCTGTCTTTGAATTTTAAGGTATGTAATACATGGTAAGACCCGCCTCATGAGTAGATGAGGGGCCCACCTAGTGAACACTTCATTCAATTTCACTGCATTTTATTTAATTTTGAGTTTTGATCTAATAAGCAGTTCATCTATATTCCTGTGTTTACTATATGCCATTATGGAACCATAGGAGTTGTTGTAAATATGTCTGCATATTCATCCTGATAAATATTATTCAGATGTCCTTTCTTCATGACTTTATTTAGTGGTAAAACGTCTTGAATATGACATTGTATAGCACTTTTATCATTTGTAGATTCGGTTTCGTTCAATTAAATATTGTTAAAATATTTTTTCCAAATAGTTTTAAAATTTGATTCAGCTTTCTGAGACGTCCAGTGTACTTTTCTTTAATTAGGCCCTTGAAGATCGGTTGTTTCTTTGCTTTTAATCCCTTCGAGATTTTTTAGGACGACATTTAAACATTTCTCCATTGCTCCAAATCACTGCAAATCTCATCGCCCTCAAAAAAATACATTGATCGTCTATAAGCTCTGAAGGCTGATGGAAGATTTGTCTTTGCGTATTTGAGAATCTTGTTTATTTTATCTTGTCTATTTTATTTCAATTGATATAAATTTAATGGCCTGAGATATTTCACAGTTCAACTAAATAACAGTTGTGAATTAATAAATCATGAAATTTGCTTTTAAACGGCATATCTACAATACTTAGCATTTTGTTCACAAATTGCTTTCTTTTGTACTATTCTTATTTATAAACTTAAGGTAATTTTCCATTAAATTTTAGAATGTATTTCAAAAGCTGCTGTCAGAAAATAAAATTGTTTACCTACCTACCGACCCAACTTGAGAATTTAGGGTCGGGTTAGGGGAAACAAAGATATTTTTAATTTCGGCCTGGGCTTTTACATTTTGACTTGTCAACAAGGCACACATTGGAAGATACAGGTGGGTATTGATTTAAATCCTATACGTACACGTGGTACAGAATGCAGCTGAAATAATGATTGTTGGAACATCTGGTCATTGTGCACTTCTTCTAAGAAATATTGCTCTTCACGTCGACTCTAGATTTCAGGTCTATACTTTATACATTTTCTGTTTTTTAAGGGTTTATTTAAAAAGTCTATATTCATGACACAACTGTAATTAAACCGAAATTTCTGGACAACGTCGCGAATTAGAGTCCTTGTGTTCAGGAAATGGAGGAAAATGTTAACGAATCTAAAACCAGGGGAGATGATGCGATTTTATTGAATTCAACGTTCGATACTTTATGAAAATTTGAAGTAAAATTATCACTGTAAAGTTATGATCAGCGGCGATCGTTGTCTTACCCCTTGGGTTTTATTCCACTAAAAAAAGCTTTGTATTTCATTGATGTTTATAAAAGAAAATTACCTGGAAGCACTAAATTGTTAGCGATATATCATGAATAGTCTATAATATGTACAAAGGATACGTAACTGTAGCTCCAAGAATGTATGTCTTTGTATCAATGGATAATTGATGGCTTCCATGTTTGAGTGTTTTAACACTATCAGTGGATAGTTGATGGCTTCTATGTTTGAGCGTTTTAACACTATCAGTGGATAATTGATGGCTTCCATGTTTGAGTGTTTTAACACTATCAGTGGATAATGATGGCTTCCATGTTTGAGTGTTTTAACACTATCAGTGGATAATTGATGGCTTCCATGTTTGAGTGTTTTAACACTATCAGTGGATAATTGATGGCTTCCATGTTTGAGTGTTTTAACACTATCAGTGGATAATTGATGGCTTCCATGTTTGAATGTTTTAACAGTATCAGTGGATAATGATGGCTTCCATGTTTGAGTGTTTTAACACTATCAGTGGATAATTGATGGCTTCCATGTTTGAGTGTTTTAACACTATCAGTGGATAATTGATGGCTTCCATGTTTGAGTGTTTTAACACTATCAGTGGATAATTGATGGCTTCCATGTTTGAGTGTTTTAACACTATCAGTGGATAATTGATGGCTTCCATGTTTGAGTGTTTTAACACTATCAGTGGATAATTGATGGCTTCCATGTTTGAATGTTTTAACAGTATCAGTGGATAATGATGGCTTCCATGTTTGAGTGTTTTAACACTATCAGTGGATAATTGATGGCTTCCATGTTTGAATGTTTTAACACTATCAGTGGATAATTGATGGCTTCCATGTTTGAGTGTTTTAACACTATCAGTGGATAATTGATGGCTTCCATGTTTGAGTGTTTAAACACTATCAGTGGATAATTGATGGCTTCCATGTTTGAGTGTTTTAACACTGGTTGGCTTGTTTTGTTATTGGTTTAAAACGTAACAAGTTTTGAGGTACATGTATATCTTCAAAGTGCAATGTTCCTCTATAATCGGGGATCAGGAAGGGGAATACAGTCTTTCAGTTTGTCTGTTGACCCCTATTGACCTTAACCTTGGTCATGACCTTTGAAAGATTGGAGCCAGTGCTTTCGTATTTCACAATTTATTCCTTGTATCAAGACTTTTTTTGTGGGATACCCAAATTTTTTACCTCATAATTTTGGATTTTAAACTACTTTTGAAAAACTAAAACCTTGTCTTGAAATATAAATGATTGGAGCTACGAATTTCATATTCCTTGTGATTAGATCATATTTACTACCTCTCAATTCATTTTGAAATTTCACATTCTTATCAAAAGATTTAAACTCAGCAACGAGGTGCCATGTGGCATGTTCACTGTCTTTATATGAATCAAATTGAATATTTAATTTCTTTTTGGACATAATATAATGATATACAATATCTGGACTGCAAGAATGTGGGCGGATAAATATGATACTCTTTTAATAGAAACATCAATAATATGTAACTTTTTTTTGTTTTACATACTGACTTATATGTGTAATTTTATAATTTCAGATTGTTTTCATGGTTCAGGCGATGAAAAGCTTCCTTTTTCGAGTGTTCCTGACGTGTATCTTTCTAACGTGTACGAGTATAATTCTGGTCACTAACACAGTGAAAACCAAATTTGAAGGACCTCGCTACGATCTGAAAGAGCCTTCCAAAGTCTATGGCATCACGAAAAAAGACATGACCCCCACAAACGCTTCTACCATGCTGAACGTGTCCAAGACAATAACCACGCCATTTTATGCACACGTTACCTATATAACAAACCCTTCTACAATCTGTGATTCTTTCAAAACTTATAATGGAACCAAAATATTAATGCTTGTAAAGTCTTCTCCAGAAAACTTTCATTTACGAAAATGGATACGTTTTAAAAGTCAATTCTATAAAGATTTCAAGGATGCTGTGAAGACGTTGTTTCTGTTGGGCCATTCCGCCTCTAGAGATCCTGATATCCTGAAGGAAAGCCGAGCGTACGGGGACATCATCCAGGGAAGCTTCCAGGACGCGTACAGAAACCTGACCTATAAAACGGTGATGGGATACAGATGGATGAGCGAGTACTGTAAGGACTCGGAGTTTGTCGTGTACAAAGACGACGATTTTAAGATTAATATTGTTAATCTGATGAAGCACATTAAGGGCCACAAAGCACCACAGACCATGTTTATGGGAAATCTAGTCAAAAAGGGACGCATGATATATCGTAATCCAAAACATAAATGGTATCTTTCCAAAGAAGATTATCCTCAAAATGTTCTTCCGCCCTATTTTCCTGGAGGTGTTTACTTAGTAAGCGCAACCATTGCCAAACAATTAGTTTCAAATTTTCACTCAGTGAAATGGTTACCAATTGATGATGTTTATATCGGACTTGTTGCACAAAAATTAAATATTACCCTCACGCATTCAAAACTATTTGAATTTAAGAACTGTGACAAATTCCATGCAAATTTGGCCTGTAGAGAGTTCACAAGACCCCAAGAGGTGTTGGATGCGTGGAGGACCATGACTATTTATGACATTGAACACAAGAAAACAAGCTGATGTAAACCGCATCTAGTACCATAACGCAATACCTCATATACGTGCAATATATATAGTTACAATACTATGCAAGTCATTCCCATCTGTTGGTCGAGTCGAAAAGCAGAATCAAAGAATTGCCCTTCAAAATGCCCGAGTCAAATGTATAACCCCGCTAATGACAGCCTGATATACCAGGTAGTTGAGGGCTACTCGAGCGGAGCGTGGTATTTATGGCAATAAAACAATCAAACGAACACTTATTTATTAATGTGAGCGTCATGAACTTGCCCATTTTCAAAATAAATCTTTGATGAGAACATCTTTAAAACATTTTTCTTTTGAATGTTAAAAGCTGCTGATATTCATAATTGCATACAAGTACACCACAGACCCACTTGGGCGCCATTTTATTAGCTCTCCTGAGCTCAATTCGCCTTTCTGATCACCCGTTCTCCAGTGTCCGCCCGTCTGTAAACTTTCTCAAGAACCACTGGATCAATTTGAACCAAAGTTGGCGCAAAGCATCCTTGGGTCAAGGGAATTTTAATTTATGCAAATAATTGGCATACATTCAGCTTACTTCTAGTAAGAGAAAATCAAGAAAAGGCAAATTAGGGCGGGGCTATTAAAATCTTCCTCTCATGAACCACTGGACCAAAAAAGTATGCCACAATAGGGGATAAATGTTGTACATTGAAATTTATTTTTAAAAATCTTATCAAGACTAGAAATATGAAACCTACGGAACCTTCTAGACATAATGTAGATTATTTATTGTTCAGTTTTTGGCGTAGGACAGGGGCCACAATAAAGGATCAAAGTTTAACATTGAAAAAATCTTCTTTAATATAACTTGTGCACAAGCAGAAACATATGGAAACTTCCTAAAGTAGATTCTAAACTGTTCAAACTATGACCACGGAGTTTAGGAAAGGGGCCACAACAAGGGAATTTAATTTTTTTCTGAAGAACGGTAGAGCTAAGGTAACTTAGGTGGGCGTTGTGGTCCAGTGGCCTCTTCTAGAGTTAGGGTTTAACTTGCATTATAAAGATGATAGTAATATTCTACCAAACTGGAGCTTATATAACGTGTAAAAAAGTCTTGCAAATTCACAGGAAGACTCAAGGAGGATCCGGGCACAAATGAAGTTTACCAGCCTCTGTAGCATCCTGGATGTCCAATGCATATTTGACGTAACGCCCTTAAGGAATGTGTTAAAAGAACGTATGAATTGCACAATACTAGAAGGAGCATAGAGGCTAGAGTGAATATGGAACATACGAAATGTTTTTGTTTTTTTTAAATAAGGAGCTTAGGCTAAGAGGCCCAGGAATTGTTATAGAAGTATAAAAAAGGCGTAGGGATTGTTATTGGGGTAAATTAGGAGCGTGAGGAAAGGGATCGTAGGGAGTGTTATAGGAGTTTATAATGAGCGTTTGGTAAGGGGCCAAGGGATTGTTGTTGGGGTATACATGTATAAGATGCGTAGTGTGAAGGGTAAGGGAACTAGGGATTGTTCCAGGTGTACATATATTCATTAAAGAGCGTAGGATAAGGATCCTAGAGATTGTTTCACGAGCCGAGTAAATAAGGAACATAGTGTATTGGGCCTAGGGATTGTTATATGAGTATAAAAAGAGCGTAGGGTAAGGGGGCTTAGAGATTGTTTTACGAGACGAGTAAATAAACCCCATAGTATAGGGGGTATATGTATTGTTATGTGAGTATGTAAGAAGCTTAAGAATTGTTTATAAGTAATCAAGGAGTGTAGGGAAGGAGTTTAGGGATTGTTATGAGAATATATAGAGCATAGGGTAAGGGCCGGCCTATGAGATTATTATAGGAGTAAAAACGGAGTGTAGACAAAGGAGTATGTAAGGAGTGTAAGGAAAGCAGCCTAGGGATTGTTATAGGAGTAAAAAAGGATTGTTTGGGAAAAAGTATTTGGGATTGTTATAGGAGAATATAAGGGTAGGTGGACTATGTTATTGTTATAGGAGAATATAAGGGTAAGTGGACTATGTTATTGTTATAGGAGTATCTAAGGGTAAGTGGACTATGTTATTGTTATAGGAGTATATAAGGGTAAGTGGACTATGTTATTGTTATAGGAGTATATAAGGATAAGTGGACTATGTTATTGTTATAGGAGTATATAAGGGTAAGTGGACTATGTTATTGTTATAGGAGTATATAAGGATAAGTGGACTATGTTATTGTTATAGGAGTATATAAGGGTAAGTGGACTATGTTATTGTTATAGGAGTATATAAGGGTAAGTGGACTATATTATTGTTATAGGAGAATATAAGGGTAAGTGGACTATGTTATTGTTATAGGAGTATATAAGGGTAAGTGGACTATGGAAGCCATATTATATAGGAAACTGTATTGACTGGCACTTGGAGACACAATTTACAGAAAAGTTATAAATACGTTTCAGTTTCACCAATGGGTGTACACAGGGATACTTAATTAGATATATATATATATTTTTTTAAATCAGTTAAAGCGCCTCGAGTTTTCATTATACCCCCCGCTTGAAAAATGAGAGGGTATATAGTAATCGGTCTGTCCGTCTGTCCGTCCGTCCGTCCGTCCGTCTGTTACGCTTTGGGGTACCCATCTCTTATCCGCAACTCCTCTCATACCACTGAAGGAAATTTAATGAAACTTTCACAGATTCTTAGTTATATATTGCCATTGTGCACCTCCTATTTTACTTTTTGATCTGACAGATATTTTTGATTTTCCAGAGCAAAACATGAACACTGCCATTATATTCATATGGGAGGCGGGGGGGGGGGGGTATCATTTAGTGAGCTCATTGCTCACAGTACCTCTAGTTTATTTATTACTTTTAGTGAAATTGTAGTAATTTTTTTTCTGACAAAAATTGAATGCTTAATTTAATATGATAGTAATATGGCGTAGGACAGGGGCCACAATAAAGGATCAAAGTTTAACATTGAAAAAATCTTCTTTAATATAACTTGTGCACAAGCAGAAACATATGGAAACTTCTTAAATTAGATTCTAAACTGTTCAAACTATGACCACGGAGTTTAGGAAAGGGGCCACAACAAGGGAATTTAATTTTTTTCTGAAGAACGGTAGAGCTAAGGTAACTTAGGTGGGCGTTGTGGTCCAGTGGCCTCTTCTAGAGTTAGGGTTTAACTTGCATTATAAAGACGATAGTAATATTCTACCAAACTGGAGCTTATATAACGTGTAAAAAAGTCTTGCAAATTCACAGGAAGACTCAAGGAGGATCCGGGCACAAATGAAGTTTACCAGCCTCTGTAGCATCCTGGAGGTCCAATGCATATTTGACGTAACGCCCTTAAGGAATGTGTTAAAAGAACGTATGAATTGCACAATACTGTAAATTAAGAAGGAGCATAGAGGCTAGAGTGAATATGGAACATACGAAATGTTTTGTTTTTTTTATGTTATGCCAATGCATATTTGAAGTAAAACAATTTTTTAAAATGCTATTGTTTTGGGGTAATTTCAATATAACTTGGCACACAAGTAAGGAATGTGGCACACAAGTTAAATAATTCTGTGTATCGGTTTTGAACCGTGGTTATGAAATTTCTGCGAAATTCTTGCTACTCCTCCTACAGTTTTGGTTTGATTTCAAATTATAACTTGGCACACAAGTAGACTACACATACTTGCAAATTCACAGGAAGTCAAGGAGGATCCGGGCACAAAAGAAGTCCAAGCAATGTATTTGACGTAACGCCCTTAAGGAATGTGTTAAAAGAACCTACAGTATCGGTTTTTGATTTCAATGAACGGTGTTGCCGTGGTTACTAAAAATAGAAATTTCTGTGAAATTCTTTCAAAATGCTACTCCTCCTACAGTTTTGGTCTGATTTCATATTACTTGGCAAACAAGAGAATACACTAAGATACATAATTCTGTGTATCGGTTTTTGATTTTGATGAACGGTGTTGCCGTGGTTAAAAAATAGAAATTTCTGGAACATTCTTTCAAAATGCTACTCCTCCTACAGTTTTGGTTTGATTTTATAACTTGGCACACAAGTAGAAAACTAAGATACATAATTCTATGTATCGGTTTTTGATTTTGATGAACGGTGTTGCCGTGGTTACTAAAAATAGAAATATCTGTAAAATTCTTTCAAAATGCTACTCCTCCTACAGTTTTGGTCTGATTTCAATATAACTTGGCAAACAAGTAGAATAAAGATACATAATTGTTATCGAATTTTAATTTTGGTGAACGGTGTTGCCGTGGTTACTAAAAATAGAAATGTCTGTAAAATTGTTTCAAAATGCTTCTCCTCCTACAGTTTTGGTCTGATTTCAGTATAACTTGGCACACAAGTAGACTACACTACGAACATAAAGAGACTTTATCAACGATCATTATTCTATTTAGTTTCAAATCCCAGCTGCTTAAGTACTTAAGTTCAAACCAGTAGAGCTTCAGTCTCGACAGAGACTTCTGGTTTAAATAAGGAGCTTAGGCTAAGAGGCCCAGGAATTGTTATAGAAGTATAAAAAAGGCGTAGGGATTGTTATTGGGGTAAATTAGGAGCGTGAGGAAAGGGATCGTAGGGAGTGTTATAGGAGTTTATAATGAGCGTTTGGTAAGGGGCCAAGGGATTGTTGTTGGGGTATACATGTATAAGATGCGTAGTGTGAAGGGTAAGGGAGTAAGTGGACTATGTTATTGTTATAGGAGAATATAAGGGTAAGTGGACTATGTTATTGTTATAGGAGTATATAAGGGTAAGTGGACTATGTTATTGTTATAGGAGTATATAAGGATAAGTGGACTATGTATTTGTTATAGGAGTATATAAGGGTAAGTGGACTATGTTATTGTTATAGGAGTATATCAGGAGCGTGGGGTAAGTGGCCTATGGAATAGTTATAGGTCTAGCTATGTTTACCTATACCTTTATCTGATGGTAGACAGACAAAATATTTGATCATTCAATCAAATGTTTACTATACATAGAGACCCTTATCGGACAAATCTGCAAATTTAAAGAGAAATGCCATTCATTAATTTTCAATATGAAAACTGTTAGACTTCAACGAGATTATCGAAGAACTGTCATTAGATTAGGTTATTTACGGAAGCCATATTATATAGGAAACTGTATTGACTGGCACTTGGAGACACAATATACAGAAAAGTTATAAATACGTTTCAGTTTCACCAATGGGTGTACACAGGGATACTTATTTAGATATATATATAGATATTTTAAAATCAGTTAAAGCGCTTCGAGTTTTCATTATACCCCCCGCTTGAAAAATGGGAGGGTATATAGTAATCGGTATTTCCGTCTGTCCGTCCGTCTGTCCGCCCGTCCGTCCGTCTGTTACGCTTTGGGGTACCCATCTCTTATCCGCAACTCCTCTCATACCACTGAAGGAAATTTAATGAAACTTTCACAGATTCTTAGTTATATATTGCCATTGTGCACCTCCTATTTTACTTTTTGATCTGACAGATATTTTTGATTTTCCAGAGCAAAACATGAACACTGCCATTATATTCATATGGGAGGCGGGGGGTATCATTTAGTGAGCTCATTGCTCACAGTACCTCTAGTTTATTTATTACTTTTAGTGAAATTGTAGTAATTTTTTTTCTGACAAAAATTGAATGCTTAATTTAATATGAGAGTACATTTTTCCGATGACATATAAAAGAAACAGGCTATAGCATTGATTTCTTTTTGGGTTCTAGACTACAACCTTTGAACAGGTCAAGAGAAAACAATGGTCTCGAAGTTGAATTACAACTTTGCAGCGGTGTGAACGAACGCTCAAGTAAAATTATCCTCTTTGTTCAAGTGTGTGTGTGTGAGGGTGTGCGTTTTGAACACAAGACATTAGCCATAAATATGACACCATGAATGTGTAACGTATTGCTGTACAAGGTAAATACGATCAATTCAGAGGGATTGCTCAATGGCCTGTTAGGTGAACCGTATCGATTTTTTTTAGGTTAGCTGTTGTGTTTAACTTCTGCATTTATCGGGTGTCCATCAAATATCCCCCTGGAATTCAGTGCTACCGTGGATTTGACTTAACATGGTTAGAAGGCAGGTATTCTTTGTAACTAGCTTAATTATTTAAGGTTTTTAACGAAATACAATGCATAAATATGGACTTATAATGAATATATAGATTGTGATCGTTATACATTGTAAAAAACGTGAATACATGTAAACACACCACTGCAACAATGGGGAAATCCCGGAACTGATCACTATATTGGGGGGGGGGATCCATGTTTACGATGTTTATTTGTACGTACCGTGACAACCACTTTTACTTTCATTTTCTTTCTTTAATGAAAAGAGATATTGATTTACCGCAAACATTTCCAAATTTTATTTAACCAGTGTTAATTGCATATTGCAATAGATTGAAAGAGCAAAGGAACACGGGGCATAAAGCTGCATGGATTTCTCTATATCCAGCCGTGAGCGTGCATATTCTATTTTGACGTTGAAGTCAGTGACTCTTTTGAATTCTTCATTTTTTATACCATTTAGGACATATGAGTATGAAAAATATGTTTTATTTTGATATAAAGAATTGTCGAATTGTTTCGTTTAATCAAATTTAATTAAGGAATCACTGTGTATTACGGGCGTTATGCATAAATTATCATCCCATGTTTCCCACTATTGTTGATGTCCCTGTCATACTATACTAACTAGACAGTGATTCCTTATATTTCCATTTCATTGTGAAATAAAATTGTAGATTTAGACTTTAAAAATGCAGACATAGATTTAAATTACACGAGGATTCCCATCCCAATTTCAATAGTCCTCGCCCACTGACGTCAAACACAACGGCAGCCGCACGAAATTTTCATGCATATTTGGCCTCCTTAGCATCAGACGCAGAGACAGATGTGCACAAGATTTGCATGCATATTAGGCCTCCTTAGCTCCTGACCTATTGACCTGCCTAATTTACATTCCGGTAAAATTATCAAAAAATTAACTCCGCTAACTTTCAAAGAGTTATCATAGAGAGAAAAATTAGAAATGGAAATACTTCGCTCTAACATTTTTAAATGAATTTGTGATAACAAATCAATCTTTAAAATTTCAGCAAAAAAATTGCTGGAATTTGTCATATTTCCACCCGATATATATAAAAAAAAATGTGTTTGTGAAACACTATGCGCCCGGCGGCAACAGAGTTCGGAAAGCTATTTTTAGCATATAGGTCACAGTCAAGGTCACAAGGTCATTGACTTTGGTGTCATTTGAAAGAGCTTAATTAGTGGACTATGCATACCAAATATGAAGTTTCTATCTCCTATATGGTTCAAAAGTTATGGCGAAAGTTTGAAAAAGCTGTTTTAAGCATATACGTTATAGTCAAGGTCACTAAGTCATTGACCTTGGTGTCATTTGAAAGAGCTTTATTAGTGGAGTATGCATAGAAATATGAAGTCTCTATCTCTCATGGTTCAAAAGTTATGGCGAAGGTTAAAGTTGACAACAGACAGACAGAAAAACAGCTAAACAGATAAACAAAAAGACGAAACACAGACAAGACAAAAACGATATACGCCTCGGATCTCTCGATTCGGGCGCATAAAAATACAATATACATCAATAGGTTACCCACCATGGCCGAAGAAAAAAATGTTCAAAGACAACAAAGATTTGACGAATAGAAATCACTGGTGCGTACTTAAATGGGAAGAACACATGCGAAGGAAGTATTCAATTACTTCAACATGGTCTAATTTGTCGTCTTTTCCAGAATAGTTTTAATATGAGATTATAATAAAACACACATTTCTCGTTAGTTTGAAATTTGCCCCAATGGCGAACAATGTCTCCCTAAATATGATACATTAACCAATTCATGGAATCCTGTCCAAAACTGGGTCACATTTTTTTTTTCAACTACTCAAAGATGTCTAGAACTAATAATTATCTGATATTACCTGTTTCACAATTACCTTATTTCGTAATCACGTAAAATCAGTGTGAAAATAATGGCCTAATAAGTATGATAAAAAAGTCAGTTGACGTCATTGGACTTTATGATTTATTGTATTTGCCGCCCGATGTCATTCTGTCTACCATACCATTAACGAAATGTCGACTTTAAACAAGACTTATTTGTCAATACTAGTAGCTTTCCTCTGTGTTTGTATGCAGAGCTTGAATTGCTCTTATATCGAATTGACTAGTAAACATATGCCATTGATAATCACATTTATCATGAAGTTTTGTTTTTAGGTTACCATCAAAATCTTTTTCTGGTAAAAAATTAAATTATGAAATAGCTGTTTCCGAAACTGTGGTATCTTTAATGGGATATATGTATGGGACTTGTCAACAGGTGATACTTACTCCTTCATGGCAGCTGATCCCACCTTTGATGTTATTAAAGGCCTACGATGACTGTGATTTTATTGTTTCAATCCTTCATCACTGTTCGTTGTCGCCATATTTCTTCAAATTGACATGAAAATGAAAATTGCATAATTTTCCAAAAAGTATCTGTAGAAAGAAATGGTCTTTAATTTTGATAAAAATCGAGCAATTTCGCCTCTCGTCTTGCTGAGCAAAGAGTTTCGATAAAAACTGTCTGAAGTAAATTTGATGAACAATTACAGGGGATACCTTTAATTAAACTTTATATTTCATTAGCATAAATCATCCTGACATACAATGTGTGAATCATAGGTACATTAATTATTACTATATAAAGAGATCCGAGAGACATTCTCAACAGGATTCGGAAACCAACTTCATCCGTATCCTAAAATTAACATGACAGTAATAATATTGAAGATAAAATTGTCTTACTAAATAAATTTTTGAAACGATGTGATATGTACATGTACTATATAGAGAAAATATTTAAAAATTGGAATCTTTCAACATATAAAATGATATCAAAATTGATCTTTTTTTCCTAAATAGAGGCTTTATGAAATATCGCTATATTCTCTTGCTTTTGTAACCGATAAATTATAAGGCAGACTTTATTTTAAAAAAAAACTTTTGTGGCTGTCAATTCGTCATTTGGATATATCAATTACGTTTTATCAGTCGACAATATTTTTATCATTTGTACATATATATCCCCACTTTTATTCAATATATCCGGTATCATAGGAATGGAGTATACAACATGATGGGGTGCAGTAGATCGTCTTTATAGGATGCTTAATATTAAAATTCTTAATAGGACTGAAGAATATAGATAATCTGAAGTATTACTGTGCACCAAAGTACATGGAATTTAAGAGCCATTCTCTGTAATGACTTGAATTTTTATATAGGAGCTGTGGCACGCATAGTCTCAGAATTTCTCTAAACTCTCTATGATAAAAGTTATTGATACCCTAAACTGAAATCAGGCAAAAATTGGTTGCTATGTTTTATAGTTACCATGGCAACATGTCTTAAAGTTCGAAAAATGGCATTTTTTAACATATTTAGAGCCCCATAGTTAACATTTGCGGCAAAGCAAACAATTGGCAATGACTGTTTCCAAAAGTTGAAGGTCAGATGTCTCAAATGCATGATAAACATGTTTGGTAAATCAGCTATTATATACGTTACTATGGTAACAAAGTATTCAAAAGTAAAAAAAAAATCATTGAATTTTATAAAGTCATACACGTAAAAGTAAAAAGCAATTATAGGATGAAATGTGACCAAATAATGGAAAAAAGAGCCTTGAAATATATACCAAGAACAAAATATGATATTTCATTTTGGATGGCAATGGTTGCCAAGGTTTTTTTTTTACCACAGAGAGCCTTCAAAGTAGCACTCTGTATGTTTAAATCTGATCCTATCTTTTAAAAAAGCACATTTCCTCATAACTAATGATCAATTTTCAAAGATGTTGGTGTGCTCCTAGTTTTCCCATTTTAAAAAATTCAGATTAGATTCTTTAAATAGAGCGTTGCTATGGAAATAAGCAGAAAATATATGGGTAAAAAACCTGAAAAATATTTTCTTTCCTTGGATACGTACCCTTAAATGTAGATTCCCAAAACTTTTATGATTGATATTTATTAACAGCTAACCTGACTTTTAATTTTGACTATCATCCAATCTCTAAGTGGATGAAAGAAATTGGCACACAGGGTTTAATATTGATATAAAGTTCACAAAATCGAACATTTTCCCTTCTTGGTAACCATAGCAACAATGTTGTTTTCTTCATCAAATTTTATCAATATATGATATTCAACTTCAGTTCTAACAGATAAGTACTATTCAAGCTGAGTCCTTTAATTTGTTTCTTGATTATATGGCAATTTAATTCTTAATGCAGCGAAAAAATTTCACTTTTAAGCACTGGTACTTTGTTTCCATGGTAACACTGCAAAGTAGCAATTATACCCAATTTTTCTTATGGTTTTGGTGTTGCAAGGTCCTAAGGATGCATATTTGCAAGTCTTGAATTTTTATGTTTTTCCTCAAGACAGTAGCATTAACCCAATCTTAGTTACTGGTTTTGCATGGTTACACTGTGTTCCCATGGCAACCATAAAAGTTATTTATTGAATAATATTGCTTATACTTATATAGGCCTACTGAAGGTCAAACATTTTCATTATTTTTCTTAAGTCGTTGATTGAGTTTGAGCATGTAACACCTACCATTAGTGAATATGGAGTGTTTTTCAGCATATTTCAGCATTTTAAATGTATTCCAAATGTACCCTTGATTACCACTTACTTAGAGATATATTCTAAACAGTTTCTTTACAGTATAAGTGACATCAAGGTGTCATGTTTTTGTGAGAATGGTTTGTTTGCCTTTTCTAGGTTTTATTAAGCCACAGTCAAGATTTAAAGTGGTTGAAAATTTCGATTTTTCAATTTTTTCCGGCTGTTGCCATAGCAACCGAGACACTTAGCAACGAAATTTTGTTTGATATTTGTTTCTGGTGTCAATTACTAACCATGGGTGAAGTTTCATCAAAATCGGTGACCATGCATGGCAACGAAGTTTAAGTAGTTACAGAGAATGGCTATTAATTAGTTTGTATTTGTAGATTAACCTACCTGATATAGATTATTTAAACTAATTTTATCGCACCTCTGAACTTTGAATGAATTCTCTTGATATTTTTAACAAGTTTTTCAGATAAGATCGTTTGATGTATTGTTTAAGATCAAGTCTGCGTATTCAACTGATCTTCTGTTACGTTGTAAATTTTTAATTTATCGAGTGGCTTTAAATACCAAAATTATCTAAATGCATGGCATAGATGTCGATAGAATGAATTAAATTAAATACAACCATGAGAAGAAATCGTATTTTCATTTTCATTTAATTGAAGTTTGGGACAGTGTAAGATATGAAAGTTTTTAAAAGAATCCTCGGTTGAAGAAAATGCTTGCATGAAAATGAGTAAAGGGTTCCTACTGCTCTAGAAAGCCCCCCCCCCCCCCCGAGACTTTTTCTAGTATGTATTATGTAACAAAACTGTCTCGAGCTCTCTATTAAGACAAAACACACCGAAAACTGAAAAAAACTTGACAAGTAAAAGATGGTGAACATGTTCCGTCGTGTTCCTTGCACTAGCCTGAAGTCCATGATTTGAACAAAATTAAAATTCACGTAGAAGGAGTATTGTGTTTTTTAACTTGCTCAGATGTCCTTTTATATTTTTCATTAAAAAATGCCTCCACTTTATTTTCTGTTAGAGGAACATCCATTGATAAGTAAAACTCAAAAATTGTCTCAGATCAGAAAAACCAGATAATGTATCCGTATTATCTGACAATTTAGTTGTGTCTTTAGAAAAAAAAATGAGAAGAATACAACCTGAAGCAGGCATAACTTTAAGTTATGAATTATTCATGAAATAAATAAAATATAAAATATTGCAAATATTATTGAAAACAATAAATCAACAAGAGGCCCATGGGCCACATCAATCACCTGAGAAGCTTTGACCATTCTGTTCTTTACCAAATTTCCCCCTTGTAATACATATTGTGACCCCACCCTACCCCACTGATAATAATTTAGACAATTTGAAATCTACCCTACCCCAGGATGCTTCCACATGAGTTTCAGCTTTTCTGGCCCAGTGGTTCTTGAGACGAAGATTTTTAAAGATTTTTCCTTTATATTTCTATGTAAAACTTGAATCCCCATTGTGGCCCCGCCCTACCCCGGGGAGTCATGATTTTAACAATTTAAAATCTACACTATCTCAGGATGCTTCCACATAAGTTTCAGCTTTTCTGGCCCAGCTTGAGAAGATTTTTCCAATATATTTCTATGTAAAACTTTGATTCCCCATTGTGGCCCCGCCCTACCCCCGGGGGTCATGATTTGAACAATTTAGAATCTACACTACCCCAGGATGTTTCCACATAAGTTTTTAGCTTTTCTGAACCAGTGGTTCTTGAGAAGAAGATGTTTTAATGATCCCACCCTATTTTTGTCTTTTCTTGATTATCTCCCCTTGTGAGGGGACTTGGCCCTTCATTTTAACAATTCAAATTTCCCTTTACCCAAGGATGCTTTGTACCAAGTTTGGTCAAAATTGACCCAGTGGTTCTTGAGAAGTCGAAAATGTAAAATGTTTACAGACGGACAGACAGACAGACAGACAGCTAGACGGACTGACGGACGGACGACGGACAAAATGTGATCAGAAAAGCTCATTTAAGCCTTCGGCTCAGGTGAGGTAAAAATGACAAATTGGAATTCACCATAAACTTTTCTTTTTTTGATGCAGAAGTGGAAAGTATCGCCGTAAACTCAACATCAGGAAATCAAGTGGAGATGGACCGGGGGCCGGAAATGTTTTCATTTCGTTTTTGCTTCTCATGACTTTTTCTGTTTTCTATCTCATCAGTTACTACAAAACCAAATCAAAGCCTCGTCCAGTACAAGTGGATGAAACACCATTGACAGAAGAGGACATAACAAAATATTATAATTTCACACAATTTAATAAAACCCATCCAAGACTTCATTACATCCTTTCCCCTCTTAGTGTTTGTGATGGGTTTAGGACGGAAAACAATTTCTCTCGTACATTAATTATTGTGAAGTCATCAGCGGAAAGTTTTCACATACGAAAATGGTTCCGATGGAATATAAAACAACAGAAAGACATAGATAACAATTTTAAGATAGTTTTCCTTCTAGGACAATCTCCATCTTCCTCTATGAGCGAGCTTATAAAAGAGGAAAGTAAACTACACAACGATATGATTCAGGGAAATTTTACAGATAACGGGAATATTACCACGTACAAAACTATCATGGGGTTTAATTGGGCTCTCAAGTATTGCCAAAATTCTCAGTTTCTCCTTCTCCAAGAAGAAAATTTTAAAATAAATTATAAAAACGTGATGACATTTCTGGAGAAAGAGGATGACCCGGAGTCTCTATACGTTGGAAAATTAATCCGAAAGGAACAAACATCTAGTAGTAACCCTGACCACGTCCGATACATTCCGAAGGAGGAGTACCCTCTTCCGTTTCTTCCGCCCTATATTGCAGGTGGTGCCTATCTTGTCAGCATGAACGTTGCCAAAACGCTTGTGTCAAATTTTGATTCTGTGAAAATGGTTCGCGTGGATGACGTGTTCATGGGGCTTGTTGCAATGTTAAGTGACGTCATTTTAGTTCACTCCAAAAAAGTAACCCTTGAAAATTGTGCCAAATTCACAAAGATGTTAGCATGCAGGACATTCACTTCCGCGGAGGATATTCTCGGTGCATGGGAGGAGTCATTTGAAATCAATTTCTGAGAGAGAGAGAGAGAGAGGGAATGTTCGGCATTATTGAGTTATGTGTATATTGACTATGTCATTTCCTCAGATAAACTATTATAGGCATTATAAAACATAAGAATACTTAATGCATTTTCTTATTTTAAAAATCGAATCAGTTTTTAAGGAAAACAAGATGTGTTTCTGAAAAACTATGCGCCCGGCGGCAAAAAAGTTCTGAAAAAGCTATTTTTAGCATATTGGTCACAGTTAAGGTCACAAGATCATTGACCTTGGTGTCATTTGAAAGAACTTGATTAGTGGAATATGCATACCAAATATGAAGTCTCTACCTCTCATGGTTCAAAAGTTATGGCGAAGGTACGAAAAAGCTATTTTTAGCATAGAGGTCACAGTCAAGGTCACAAGGTCATCGACCTTGGTGTCATTTGAAAGAGTTTCATTAGTGGAGTATGTATATCAATATGACCCTTGACTTAATGGACTTGCAGTATTTTTCGGAAAGATGCGAATGTTTTGTATGGCAAGCCCTTTTGCTATTTATTCGGTAAATAAAATTTATCTTAAGGACGCTCTAAACACTGCACACTAAAAAGCTATATTTATTGGGTAGTTTTATGCAGTTAGAGTGATCTGCCCTTAGATGTAAAATTAAAGAAATAGCTATTTACTGTTAATTACATAATTTATAAAAGATTAAAATATTTTTGGCATATATAAGACCAAGAGTATTATTTAATTAATTATTTTCATTTTTTCCAGAGAGATGATTCTCTTACAAATAGTCCATTGTCTTTGAACATTTTTTCTGAGGCTATCTCTCAACTTTATATTATGTATGTTTTTCTGAGTCCAAAAAACAGTTTCTGTTAGTGTTTAGAGCTTCCTTAAAATTATAGAGATATTTCTCATTTTAGAGAGATATCTCTTAAAAAATAGAGCTATCTCTCAACTTAAAGAGATATCTCTCATTTTTAAGAGATATCTCTATGTGAAAGAGATATCTCTTAAACTTAGAGAGATATCTCTTATACTGAGAGAGATATCTCTTTTTATTAGAGAGATATCTCTTCCACTTCAAAAGATATCTCTTTCTCCTTGAGAGATATCTCTTTCGTGAAAATAGAGATCTCTCAAGGTTAAAGAGATATTTCTTTCACCTAGAGAGATATCTATTTTACTTTTGGAGATATCTTTCCAAGTTAAAGAGATATCTCTGAAAGTAAAAGAGATATCTCTCTTAGTTTATCTTAAGAGATATCTTAAAGTGAAAGATATATCTTTCAAAAGTGTCTAAAAGAGATATCTCTCAAGCAAAAAGAGATATTTGTTTTCTCTCTTCATAATTTTTATTTGAATTCCATTTAAAATGACTTCTCCCTTTACCGGAAGTCATCTTTTTACTGACGGAAGAACATTAAAGTATTTTTAAATTCGACATGTTCATGATATTTTGCACTATAGCTTTACCAAACATCACAAGTAAATCAGTTTTGTCTTGATTTCAAATTAGAAATAGTTGACTATTTCATGAGCTGAGAAAATTCGGTCCTTTACATTTAAGATTATAGTATGTTTACTTTCGTTTTCCTGAGTATTAAACTTTTAGCATTTTTATCAACGAAGCTGCCATTATTGCAGCCCGGAGGACCGGGCTGCTCTATACATGTAAGTTTAAGTGTTGGTATTTGGGGATTGAGGTGGGAGAAGTTATTCAGAATTAAAGGTTAAACATTCTTAAATTAATATTATACATTTTTGAAAATAGGTGATGCATGTGTCTGGTTTCAATTTATATTTTATGCAGCCAACATTTACTTGAGGAATTGATAAAGTTTAAAAGGGTATCGTTTTTGTTCGATTTTCATCCGACTATAAGTTTTCAAACTATTCTGGACTATCGTCTCCATCATCTACACGCATGTCTTTTTCATACATATCGAAGCGGTTTGATGATCAAGACTCATTTCCACTGTTTACTTTATTTATTTCCCGGGCGACAATTGATGGTTACATCAACGTTTTCTTGTTATTTGTTGTTTCAAGTAAGGGATTTATAGCGTTTTTGCCTACACAGTACATATATTATTCTGGGTAATTGTTTGCTCAGTCTTTTTTCTTATAACATCGACACTATTCCAGAGACTTTACTTCCTGTTTCTCTTTTGTTTTAAAGTGGAGAATTAATTATTCTATTTTAAGCATAACTGGAAAAGAGATATCTCTTTAGCTTATAAAGATATCTCTTTTTGAAAATCTAAAGAGATATCTCTCTAACTAAGAAAGATATTTATCTCTTTCAACCTTGTTAAAGAGATATTTCTCTAACTTTATGAGATATCTCTCTTGCTTAAAGATATATCTTTCTAGCTTATAAAGATATCTTTCTAAGTAAAAGAGATATTTCTCTTACAAAAAGAGATATCTCTTTTCTTTAAAGAGATATCTCTCTAAGGTATAAAGATATCTCTATAAGCTAAAGAGATATCTCTCTATGCTAGAGAGATATCTCTCTTATTGAGAGAAAATTTTTATTTCACGAATAAATAGTAAAAGGGTTTGCCATTGTTTTGTCATAAAAGTGTACTTTTAAGGTATAGTGGGTCTTGCTACACGTTTTAGTAAACCAAAACATGCATACATGTATTTTATTGCAAACTTGTAAGATATGATTATCTTAAAAAAAAAAAAAGGAGTGAAGCCCCATTCATACTGAAAAATTTTGTTAAAGGTCTTAGAAATTGATCTTTTTTGTTCTTTTTAGTGTGTGTGTTTTTTTAAAAAGGCAAATAATTTCAGTCTTTGTAAGATTTTTGTAAATTATAGGGAGTTTACATTAAGTATACTTTAATGTTAGGTGAATATCAAAGAAAATTTGGATATACAATGTAATTGATATTTAATTTTTCACTTGAGTCTTCATGTTTGTCGCATTATAGTCACTTCGTCCGCCTTATCCCCCATCTTCTTTTCAGAAAAGTTAAGACAAGTGAGAGATTAATTCCTATTCTTGGATAATGTGAAAGTTAATTAACAAATTTTTTTTTTGGGTGAACTTAAAAAATGCGTGTACTTTATGTGCTTCTCTGATTTATAGAATTTGCATTTTGTATAAGTAAGCAAAAAAATCGATCGATCGTCAGAATGATGGTCTTCCATAATCTGAGTTTACTCCCAATGTTTGTCTACAGCAATGAGATCAATAATCAATTATGGATTCCGCAATCAAAATATTATTTCAAGCTTGGACAAACTAATAACCAGATAAATATCAAAATAATCAATGACTGAAAATAATGTTCATTACATAAACCTTATATGATAAAAGGAATTATTTATGACCAGAAAAACAATTCTTTTAAAAATAATTCTCATTGTCTAAAGTCTGAAAGTAATTTTTTAAAAAGGTATCCGGTGCATATTTTGCTTTAAGGTGGCTAATTACATCCACAGTTTATTTTAGATTTCAATACAGCACCACTTATAATGTCGATGTCAAATATCCAGATGGGGGTATTGATATCATAAATATTTTTTATAGAATTTTTTAGTTTTTGTTTATTTTAGTTAAATGTTTTATTTCAGGTTTATTATTCACAGAATTTCAGAACTTTCACTGTCAAATGATGGGCATCTTCTTAAGACAAGTACACACAGTGAAAATACCTCATAATACCTAATAAAAATTTTATTAAAAAAAAATAATTTTCTCCTAGAAAACAATTAATGTCATTATCTTTTTAATCTATGCATAAAACATTTAAAAAATGTGTTCTGAAGAGACAAGGAATGTATTTCAATGACTTACATGTGTCAAATTGAATTTTAAACGAAATGAAAAATCCAATTTAAAAAATATTTGGTATAAAAAGTCCACTTTCAAGAGTTATCTTTCCTTATGTAACCAGTGTAAGTAATTAAATGTTTCAGTTTCAATGTTTTAATTATTTCTATTATGTGTGTTTACGTTTGTGTTGTCATGTGTGAATTTCCAAGTGTGAGTGTTTATGTTTGTTTGGTGATGTATTTGACCATTTCCGGTTTGACTAGTTTCTTTCTATTAATAACTTTTTACTAACTTTCCCGCGGATAACAATATTCACGCACACTCGGCGCTACACCCTTGACGGGATCGTCATATCTATCTACAGTAGCTGATTTATATAGTGTGCCTGGTAAATATATTTATCACTTATCTATTTCTTATTATATTTGTAATTTAAAAGTAAAGTCAGTAAGGATTTGTAAATGTTTATTAATTATAATGACTTTATTTCAGGTTTTTCTTATATTATTACCGTCAATAAATATACTAGTCAAACTACCATTGACTTGATTGTGTCTTGAAGTAATAATGAACCCAAGTATTACCGACATGGTCTACACTAATTAGCCAAGACTCAAAACACGATGGAACGTTTGACATCACATTACATCTAAAATTCAGAATAAAGCTTTAAATTGCCAGAGTATACATTTAAATCAATAAAACAAATATATAAATTAACACCAACACAGTAAATAAAATCAAATAAAATTTTAAAACAAGGTTGTAGATTTTAACTGGCATACATGTCTGTGATTGATAGAGTTCACTGCATGCATGGCTATGAAATTGACATTACTTGTTTGGCGAAGATTTGACTGTTGCTTTCTTTTGTTTCTGCCTTAAAGCAATTCTTCTTGGTTTATGCATAATGAATCCGGTACTTTGTTTTCACTGTTTACAACACCGCATGTTTCATCTATTTTTAAAGCGTTTTAAAGGTCAGGGTCATATTATAGAGGTACCTATACAACTCGTCCCCTGAGCAAACCGGTCGACACAATGGAGGTTTATTTTTTTGTGTAGTACGTCATCAAAAAGTGGTGTAATGAGCCTCCTTAAAAAGTCTTTTAAAACACTTTTACTCAAAACTAGAGGTACTGTGAGCAATGAGCTCACTAAATGATACCCCCCTCCCCGCCATGAATATAATGGCAGTGTAGTGTCCATGTTTTCCTGTGGGAAACCCAAAATATGTGTCGGATCAAAAAGTAAAATAGGAGGTGCACAATGGCATTATGTAATTAAGGTTCTGTGAAAGTTTCATCAAATTTCATTCAGTGGTATGAGAGGAGTTAAAAGGTGGTTACCCCAAAGCCAGATGGACGGACAGACGGACGGACATACCGATTACTATATAACCTCCCGCTTTTCAAGCGGGGGTATAATAAAGAAAATGTTTATTATACGCATTCCATAAATTAGAGTCTAATTGATTTTAAAAAGGAGCCGTTACATAAAGTTACCATTTTGACAAATAAAAAAAATTATGAATTGATTATTTGAGCACCAAAACAAGAAGTTCTTGAAACTATACATATATTTGTTATAATTTGATGCATTAAATTGCAAAGTTCGCCTTGCAAAATTTAGAGATATCGATTTTTCTTTAAAGATTTTTTAAAGGTAAATAACTTAGATAATAACATTGAACTAGAGGTACTGTGAGCAATGAGCTCACTAAATGATTCCCCCGCCTCCCATATGGTTATACATGTAATGGCAAAGATCATGTTTTGCTGTGGCCGGGAAACCCAAAATATGTGTCGGATCAAAAAATAAAATAGGAGGTGCACAATGGCAATATGTAATAAAGATTCTGTGGAAGTTTCATTAAATTTCACGAGTGGTATACGAGGAGTTGCGAAAAAGAGATGGGTACCCCAGAGCGTAACAGACAGACGGACGGACGTGCAGCTAGACGGACGTACGGACATACCTATTACTATATACCCTCCCACTTTTCAAGCGGGGGTATAATAAAATCAAATATTTCTTAAGGAGCTCTAAACACTGCATTCTAAAGAGCTCCACTTAGGATAGTTTTATGCAGTTACAGTTATCTGCCCTTAGAAGTAAGATTTTTTAAAAAAAAAAATTATTTACAGATACTAGTACATTAAAATATTTTCAGTACTATATAAGACCAAGAACATTATTGAACTCAACTATTTACACTAATTTTACCAATGTAAGTTAAAAGCAGTGATCTCTGCTCACAAATAGCCCATTCTCTTTGAACATTTTCCTTGCAAAAATAAGGCAGGTTCCCTATGTTATAAATGAAGGCATATAAAATAATAATTATAAAATAAGGCAGGTTCCCTATGTTATAAATGAAGGAAAATGTCTCAATACTAATTTTCTACTTTACAATCATAGAAAGGTCAATGCGAAGGAATAATTATTAAATTATTTGTTTACAGGATATAATAAATATAACAAAACTCTTCATACAGAATCTGTTGGGTTTGACGCCCTTAATGCAGTAGACGAACGAACTCGTACATGTTCCACTCGAATGACGGAATCCAACTTGAAGAAGATACGGAGAAGAATTTGTCTGACTTGTCAGTCTCGAGTGACTCTGTTTCAAATTGTATGCGTACTAAATGAATTGACTGATTAAAAATGAAATAAAGTTGTATTTAATTGTATAGTGTATATACTCCCCTGTAGTAGAGTTCGAACCCACTGCACAAAGATTAACTCCTTACTTCGCGACTCGGGAGCAAAAGTTCTAACTGCGCCACTTTGGCGAAACCGGAAGTCGTCAGAATACGTATGTTATTTTAAATTAGTTTTGCAATTTAAGAAATTCAAAACTATCTGTTATAGATAGTTTTGAATTTCTTAAATTGCAAAACTTTAATGTAACATGTAATACTTGAGTATTTGGTATGTATATGGCCATGCCCATTTGCAGTTCACTAGGATAAATCGAATCGACATATTTATGAATTTGACTACAATGTTATTGTTAATTAAAAAAGTTGATAAATACGAAATTTGAAATTGAAGCACACACGAAGAGTTTTCTCATTTAGTAGTTTTTGAGTGCACATATTATTCATATTATACTTCCATCAACTGAATGTTGTTTCCTTTTTTGTTTGAAAATAGATCGCTGTTATCAATTTATGAACAATGGAATACTTAAAACCAGTTAATCAGAATGATTTTAAGAAAGGGTCTTATACATGTATAGGCAATTTCGCCACGTATTATACACATATGTGGATCATATGTGGCGAAGTTGCCTGTATACCATTTCTAGTTATAACGCAATGTTTTCTCAACTATAATAGAATCCATTTGGACAGTTTTTAAAAGGATTATGGTATTTAAAGTAAACCCTCTTTTTACCTGTGTGTCCTAGGTAAATGTTGTTCAACGACGAAAGAAAAATCTCTGTTTAAAAACCGAGAAAACTTTGATTGTCAAAGTGTCTAGTGCACAACTGAACCCAACTAGCAAAAGGCATTTAATTTTGAAATAACCTGTACGCGAGAAAGGTCAAACACAGTGTGAACCAGTTTTTAGTCTAAAATTGGAGATATTATTTGTTAAAATGAGAATGGTAAGACTCGCTTTTCTTTTTGTCAGCTCTATATATCTTGCTTTAAGTTCTGCTGTAAACACGGAAAAAAGATTGTTAACAGACCTGTTTAATGACTACGATACGCAGCTGAAACCAGTGAAAAACTACACGGACGACATTTTGGTAGGAATTCAAATGTTCCCTTTCCTTATTCGTGACGTGGACGAGAGGTCGCAGACGTTCTCCACTTCGCTGTGGATCGGCTACAGCTGGATGGACGAAAACCTGGTGTGGAGTCCGAGTAACTATAGTGGAATCACTGGACTCCGAGTTAGTGTGGAAAAAGTCTGGATACCCGGAATATGCATCATCAACGAATTCACAGATCAGAAATGTTTGAACTTCGACGAAAAGGGGATGGCTTTCCTGATTTCTAATGGTTTGGTGTACTACCTGAAGCCCCTAGAGAGCACGATACAGTGTAAATTGGATGTGACTGCTTATCCTTTTGATGAACAAATGTGTACGTTTATTTTTTATCCTTATTCAAACATAGCTCATGACTTTGGGTTTTCAGTCAATCTGACTAACATCGACCTTACCTTTTACGAAAAAAATGAGGAATGGGTTGTTGTTTCAACCTCCAAATCCTTTCCTCTGGACGATAGAATGCCGGGGTCTGTTGTTCGCACAGCACGTCTAAATTTGATCATTCAACGGCTCCCTAGCTATGTCATCATTAACATTTTCATCCCAATTTTTATTTTGTCAATACTGAACCTTCTTTGCTTCCTATTACCAATTGAGTCAGGAGAGAAAATGGGAATGGTTCTAGCCATTTTTCTGACCTTTGCAGTGTTTGTGACACTCATCAGCGACTCTATGCCAAAGTCCTCTGTAAACCTGTCTATGTTTGGTAACTACGTAGCCGGGCAGTTAATAATCAGTGGAATGACAATCGTTTTGGAAACTATTGTCATCAAAATTTATTTTAAGGAATGTACACCCCCACCAGAGACGAACGACGAGCATTCCTTTCATAAATATTTCTATAATCAACAAGGAACTGACTGTTATGATGCAGATCGGTGGAAGCGGTTCGCCGTCAAATTAGAACGTTATTTTTGTGGTTTTACCGTTTTAACAACAATGGCGACTGTCGTTTACCTGATTATAGGCCTAACTGTGATGCGTCCAACTGTCAGGCAGTGAAATCTTACTCTTTGACGAAAAACTACAATCTACCTCTAGAGTTTTACTAGTGCCAATCTACAAGGGGAAGGATGCGATCAGCATCTCCATAAAGATTGTATAGTATTTAATATGGGGTTATCAATGACATCACTGCAGGGTTTTTTTGTCCAAAAGAAGTCATGTGTTCCTCAAGAATCAGAAGTTCATTTCTGTTACAAGCGATTTTTGAACAGCAACTGGAAATACAGTATATTGTCTGATGTTAACAATTGTTAACGAAGTTACTGAGAACGAAGATAAAGTTGTAAATGGAGAAACTTGGTGTTATTGATGGAATCTTTCTAGAGAAACCTGGTTCCCTGAACTTCTCTTACATCTGAGGCCCTGTGTCACGGCAGACGTTGGCGCGATAGATTCCTCACTTCTCAACGGTTTCAGAATCTCATTCATATTTAGGGACATGATAAGGAGTATTCTGTAAAATGTTCAATTTAGCCCTGGTGGCGATTTCCGGTAAAAATGGGATGTTTTTTTTCTAGAAAAACCTTGTTCCCTTTATACTCCTCTTTAAGTTCATTTTTTGCATCAACCCATTTATCTGTATCCTGTATATATGCAACAAGGTTTTGGAATGTTCAATATACACCCTGTAGTCGATAGAGGTACTACATTTTTCTCTAGAAATCTGTTTCCTCTGGACTTCACAATATATAATTCTGACAACGATCCTTAAATAAAATGACTTTTTGAAAATAAGTGTGAATTATTCGAAGTCCTTTAAATTGGGAAAAATGTTGTTGTACATTTTAGATACTTCCCCAAAGCCAGGCTTACAAAATTACACTGTTAATTGTTGAGAAGAGAGTTTTAGGGAATGGAAATTTTTGCACAGGATATAGACAGTGAGCTAAAATCTGTTTGAATTGAAGTCCAACAAAAGAAACGGAGAAACTGTTTACATAGTAGGTTAAACACAGATTGTCCATTAAAAAGGCCACTAAATTTTATTTGAGTTGGATAAATAGCTTCAATCTATACTCGGATCAATTTTAGTGAAAACGTTAAAAAGAAGAGACTCAATCAACAAAAACCAGAATGGCCATAATTGTGTAATCAATCAGAGGTTTCATTTCCACACTTCCTACATTCTTCTTAGAGAAGTGTACAGCTGGCTATCGCCTTAATCCACGGGAATGTAGGCGAAAGCCTGTCCTTTTCTCTAAAGAGAATACCACACTTCCCCATTATTTCCAAAGACTTTCAATTCATTCTCTATTTTGTTGTTAATAACGTCATTTCTTTAACACCCGATTCTTATGATATCAAATGAACATGTAGATGTATTTTTCTAAATCCGTGTATTATAATTAGCATTTTTAACAAGGTTTTAGTTGGTGAAACAAGAATATCAACAGTCTCCTTTAAAGTCATCAATTTGTAAGTTCTATGGTCAATACAATGACCTTGTCAGATAATACAACCTATCATTAAATGGAATGCTGACTGATGTTTTTTTTTCTAATAATTGTAAGGTCATTACACACTTTTTTTTTTAGTGTTGTTGTTTTCCCGATCATGACAAGGAGCACACGATAGGTGTGTCAGGTGGACAGGGGATGTTTACTCCTCCATGGCACCTGATCCCATCTCTGACATTTCTCCCGATTTGTATTGTTTCAATGGCCTTTAAGGCTTGACTACAGATGGTTATCTCCCCTTTGTATTTGTTATATATCATTTTGGGAAATTTTATTGATACATATCGGAACTTGTCATGGCCGCGCGATAAAATGTAAAAGAGGAACTAAATGTATATGAATTAATGTTTTGATCTATGCCAGGAGAAAATTGCCGTATACTAGTATGTAGATAAATCACAATATAGTATAGATCATTATTGCTACTGTAGTTTCAATCAGTATAGCGTTAACTTTGTGTATGAACAAAAAAGTTCTTACAATAAAATACTGTAGAAGTACTTTTTCCGCGTGGTATTAATTTACGCTGTGTACGCGGTCACAAATTTTTCGCGGAAATTTGTCCAAGCGTACTCAATATAAATGTGAGGCATTTAGTGACAGCCAAAGAAATCCGCGGAATTTTCTACCCGCGGATTAAACAGAAATTGAGATTCCGCGGAATTATAACCCCGTGGAAAAAGTACGTCTACAGTATTGTAATTGGTGATTAAAAAAAACTTTCTAAACTCATTGGTGCATTTTCCGTATGAAATTCTCACGCCGTATACTCCGTGAATTTTAACAAAAACCTTTTAAGCCTACAATTGTACATGTAGTTGGCTTGCTTAACACAGAGCCCACGACAGGGTGGGAAATGATATGAACAAGAGTTATCCAGACAGCAACTCTTGAGAATCGTCATTACATATCAGAGACACTTTGTGTTAATCTCAGCACGTAGTGTTAATCGTCGGGACTAAAATTTTGGTCTGGTGTCTTTTCGAGGAGACACCATGGCTGGGGGCCATAAAACTTAGGCGAGCTCATTTTTTAAAATCTCAGTCTCACTTTTTTTCAGAGGAATTAATAGCGAAAAAGTGAGACTGAGATCAAAAGTGAGCTTGTCTAATTTTAATGGTCCCTAGGTCTGATAAAAAATGTTAGTCTCTGCAAATCTCGCCTCGAAAAGACACCAGATCAAAAAAAAATTTCTCTACAAATCTCGCTTCGATAAGACGGCGTATTCGTGCAAATTTAACAATGTAGAATTTTTTTTCAAAATCGTTTGTACGATTTAAGAAATTGTTTGTACAATTTAATAAATCGTTTGTACAATTTAATAAACCGTTTGTACAATTTAATAAATCGTTTGTACAATTTAATAAATCGTTTGTACAATTTAATAAGTCGTTTGTACAATTTGTTTGTTAAATCGTTTGTACAATTTATTAAATCGTTCATACGATTTATTTAAATAGTTTGTACGATTTTTATAAATCGTTTGAACAATTTAGGAAACCGTTTTTACGATTTAAGAAAACGTTTGTACGATTTAAAGAATCGTTTATACGATTTGATAAATTGTTTGTACGATTTAATAAATTGTACAAACGTTTTAATAAATTGTACAAACGATTTAACAAACAAATTGTACAAAATTTATTAAATTGTACAAACGATTTACTTAATTGTACAAACAATTTATAAAATTGTACAAACGATTTATTAAATTGTACAAACGATTTATTAAATTGTACAAACGATTTATTAAATTGTACAAACAATTTGTTAAATCGTACAAACGTTTTCTTAAATCGTTCAAACGATTAAAAAAAAATTCTACATTGTTAAAATGGCACGAATACGCCGTCGTACTTCGAGGAGATATTTAGTCTCTACATAGACACCCTATCAAAATTTTTAGTCTCTACGAATCTCGCTGAGATAATCTGTGTGTAGGAAAATCAGAGCGTGCTGTCTAATTCACATAAAGGTTTTATGCACAAGTTTTACAAACTACTAGTATTAAGTATGTTAATTTGATACATTTAGATAGGTTAATTCAATTATTCTTTTAAAACAGGATGTGTTTGTTAAACACTGGTGCCCCCGTATGGCAACATAGTGATGATTAAACTCTTTAAAATGCAAATTAAATATATTGATACCCAAAGATGGGTGTTCTCACAAGAAATACAATTGTGAAATATCAATGCCCTAGCACCACCTGTTCAAAAGTTATGGCCAAGGATAAGTTTTTGAAAGGTAGGTCAAACTCCAAGGTCGAAGATGTTGGTTTCTTCAGAAAGCTCTAATGTCACAAGGATTACATCTGTGAGGTATGAAGATCCTAGTCCTAACCGTTCAAAAGTTAAGGTTAAGGCTAAGGTTAAAGTTTTTAAAAAGTACGTTAAACTCCAAGGTCAAAGTTCTTGATATCAAATGAAAGGTCTTGTCACTTGGATAAAATACTTAGTAAGTCCTAGCTCTAACCTTCAGAGGTTATGATCAAGGTTTGTTTTTTAAAAGTAGGTCAAATTCCAAGGTCAAAGTTCTTGGTATCCAATGCAAGATCTTGTCATAAGGAATACATATTTGAAGTTTGAAAGCCCTGTCCCTTATCATTTTAAAAAAACAATGATCAAGGTTAAAGTTTTTCATAAGTACGGAAATCTCCAAGGTCAAGGTCAAAGTTGTTGAAATGCAATCAAATGTCTTTTTACAAAAAATACATATGTTAAGTATGAAAGTCCTAATATATACCGTTCAAAAGTTATGGCCAAAGTAAAAGTTTGGAATTTTTGTGTAAAAGTGGGTCAAACTCCAAGGTCAAATTTGGTGGTACCCAAAGAAGGGGCTTGTCACAAGGAATACACTTGTGAAATATGAAAGTCGTAGCTCTACTAAATCAAAAGTTATGGCAAGGTTAAAGTTTTTGCGGACAAACAGCTAGACAGACAGACAGAGAGGAAGACAGACATACGGACGGACACGACAAAAACTATATACCCCGAATCTTCGATTACGGGGGCATAAAATCACGAAGAGATGAAGTAATGTGAAAATCAGATGTATTAATTTTTTTGTGAATTTCAATAATCAATACGTTTTGGAAGCAAATATATGTATATATAGTTAACAAAGCTCTGTGTTTTTAATTATGATCAATTTAAATTCATTTTTGAAATTTCATATATTTTTGGGCGACACCAGCAAGGAGAGAAATACTCAATAAATGTTCTTGCAAAGATTTCCTTCATTTGCAAATGTAGTCTGTATATGTACAATATTTAGTGAATAAAGAAATGAATATTTCAATTCATAGAAAATCAACATACTTTTATGTGCACTCTTAACGGTTGCATTAAATCTGAACGAAGTCAAATATTATAACGACAGTTAAGATTTAGATTCAACAATGTTGTTCGTTACATTACTTCAGTTCATTTTCATTTTTATCGAGTAAAAAAATAATACAATGCGTCTTCACTGACATTCAATACACATGTATTGATATATATAAAACAGCGTACACCCATATTCCTTTTATTTATAGGAATGAAGTTGTAAATTGACATATTTTACAATTAGAACATTTCTAGCGATAGAGGTCATCTAAATAATCATTATGGAATGAAGTGAATGCATTGGGTAGATAGTCTGGACCCTCAGAGTGATCGGGTTTTTCTGGTTTGCTTGGAGCTGGTGGTTTTATTGGTTTGACTTTTTTCACCTTGGGAGTTGGTTTCTTCGGAGGTTCTGGTGTCGCTGGTTCTGGTGGATAATCTGGTGTCCCTGAGGGACCCGGGTCTCCTTTTGGCCCTTTGGGTCCAACGTGTCCTTTGACCCCCTTTGGTCCACTGAGTCCAGGAGGTCCTTTATCGCCAGGGAATCCAGGATCTCCCATCATACCTTTATCCCCCGGCGGCCCCATGTCTCCTGTCTCCCCTTTCTCACCCTTATCACCTCTCTCACCACGGTCCCCCTTCTCGCCCTTGTGTCCTTCAGACCCCCGGTCTCCTGGGTCGCCCATATCCCCCTCGGGCCCCTTAACCCCCTTTATGCCCTTTGGACCTTGGTCTCCACGCTCCCCTTTCTCGCCCTCGTCTCCTTGGTCACCCTTGTCGCCCTTTTCACCCTTAAATCCCATGGGCCCTCGGAATCCTCTTGGACCCCTTTCTCCCTGCATTCCTTTAGGACCCATGTCTCCGGTCGGTCCTTTGTTACCTTTAGGTCCTTTTATTCCTTTTTGCCCCTTTTCACCCTTCAAACCTTTCTTGCCTTGTTTTCCTGGATCTCCTATCTCTCCCTTTTCGCCCCTAACGCCCTTGGGTCCAACCAGTCCAGGTTTTCCGATATCTCCTGTAACACCCTTGGGTCCCTGGTCTCCCTTTGGCCCTTTTATACCTTTAATGCCTTGTTTTCCTGGGTCCCCTTTGTCTCCTTTCTCTCCAGGGTCCCCTTCCATACCCTTGGGACCTTTATCACCTGGATATCCCGTCGGTCCCTTTTTCCCTGGATCACCCTGTTCACCTATTTTTCCATTATATCCAAATTTTCCTTGATCCCCCGCATCGCCTCTTGGTCCTTTATAGCCGGGATATCCTACTTCATATGGTCTTGGCCCCCTGGGACCTGGGTCACCCCTATCACCCTTCGGTCCTGGATAGCCACGTGGTCCCTTATGTCCCGGATGTCCAGGGCTTCCTTTTGGACCTGTCAAGATTTACCCACAATTAATAAATCATAGCATGTTTTGTGTTTGTGGGTGGGTGAGGCGTCCCTAGCTCTACCACAATTTAAAATAATAATGGAAAAAAGCTAATAACGCATAACGAAAGGTCATAAAAAGTAGAGAAAAGCATCCATTTTTTCAGTAATGTAAGACAAAATTTATTAGGCAAAACATCGAGGAAAAAAAAAAAAATTTTGTGTCAAAGCCATCAGGATGACATTTCGTGAATATGTCTTATCAAAATTGAAATAGGTTTATTTGGGATATTTGCTTTAAATCTGAAATCAATTTATTATATCATAGACATTATTTCAAATAATTTTCGTTCCAACTGAGACTTGTAAATAGAGAGATTTAAGTTTCCATTTTGTTTTCACCCTCGTCAGAAGTGAACGAGACAAAATTAACGATAACAACTGCTATTAGGGGCCAATCGCTGTAATTTTGGTTATAACAAAACTAAAGTAATATATTTTTTAGAGATTTACCTTTTATGGCACCATATGGAGCTTGAGCTAATTGTTCTTTAAGAAGAACGACCGTGTATTTCATCTGGGCGATGAGGGCCCGGAGTGCTTTAGCCTCCTTCTCACACTGGGCGGCCGCCGTAGGCCCACTCCAACTGTATGAGGCCAGGGTAACCCCACATACAGCCAACGCAGTAGATAGGAAAATCAGGCACCGGACCATTGCGGGACTTCGTACCGTCACCGGAGCCGACGCAATACCAACTGCACAGGAATGACTTGTGCTCACATAGAAATTTTCAAATATTCAATGAGCTAGACGTTTGTTGTGTAGCACCTATGCCAAATCCCATCCTTTTAAATGTAAAAAGTAACCATGCGTAATCAATGCATACATTTCTGTTATTTTTATAATGTAATATCTTGATGAGGAGTGGAGAAAGTGCTAAAGCAACATCGATAAATATGTACTTACATGAAAAGTTGGATGTTTAACGTTAGACTGTTGGTTGACTTGTATAAAATATTTTGAGAGCGAAATGCAATACACGTGCTGTTCAGAGAATATTTTGTGATTATGAACTGTCTGTCAACATTCAACAACGTTCTTAGCCAAATAAAATAAGTGATGGGAAAAGTTGACGATTTTGTAAGGTACGAAAAGTGTCCGAACACAAATATCTCTGTATTTTTTTGCTGTTGAAAAGATAATTTTCTACTTGATTAGAGTGTATAACTAAAGGTAATTTCTAGATTGGATATCTTAGATTGTGTGTACTAATGTAATTGCAGGAGAGAACACCTGTCAACAAAGCTGTATTGATAAGAATCACTGGTCAACCAAGCTACACTGATGTGGAGCAAGTGTTAATGAGGTTATACTATTGCTGAAGTCACGTGTCAACCAAGCTACATTGGGGAGGAGCAAGTATTCAGAAGGTAATACTGGTGCTGAAGTCACGGTCAACCGAGCTACACTAGTGAGAACCAAGTGTTAAAGAGGAAATACTGGTGCTGATGTCACGTGTCAACCAAGCTACACTAGTGAGGACCAAGTGTTAAAGAGGAAATACTGGTGCTGATGTCACGTGTCAACCAAGCTACACTAGAGAGGAGCAAGTGTTAAAGAGGAAATACTGGTGCTGATGTCACGTGTCAACCAAGCTACACTAGAGAGGAGCAAGTGTTAAAGAGGAAATACTGGTGCTAATGTCACGTGTCAACCAAGCTACACTAGTGAGAACCAAGTGTTAAAGAGGAAATACTGGTGCTGAAGTCACGGTCAACCAAGCTACATTAGTGAAGACAAAGTGGTAAAGAGGAAATACTGGTGCTGATGTCACGTGTCAACCAAGCTACATTGGGGAGGAGCAAGTATTCAGAAGGTAATACTGCTGCTGATGTCACGTGTCAACCAAGCTACACTAGAGAGGAGCAAGTGTTAAAGAGGAAATACTGGTGCTGATGTCACGTGTCAACCAAGCTACACTAGTGAGGACCAAGTGTTAAAGAGGAAATACTGGTGCTGATGTCACGTGTCAACCAAGCTACACTAGAGAGGAGCAAGTGTTAAAGAGGAAATACTGGTGCTGATGTCACGTGTCAACCAAGCTACACTAGAGAGGAGCAAGTGTTAAAGAGGAAATACTGGTGCTAATGTCACGTGTCAACCAAGCTACACTAGTGAGAACCAAGTGTTAAAGAGGAAATACTGGTGCTGAAGTCACGGTCAACCAAGCTACACTAGTGAAGACAAAGTGGTAAAGAGGAAATACTGGTGCTGATGTCACGTGTCAACCAAGCTACACTAGTGAGAACCAAGTGTTAAAGAGGAAATACTGGTGCTGAAGTCACGGTCAACCAAGGTACACTAGTGAGGACCAAGTGTTAAAGAGGAAATATTGGTGCTGATGTCACGTGTCAACCAAGCTACACTAGTGAAGACAAAGTGGTAAAGAGGAAATACTGGTGCTGAAGTCATGGTCAACCAAGGCACACTAGTGAGGACCAAGTGTTAAAGAGGAAATACTGGTGCTGATGTCACGTGCCAACCAAGCTACACGTGTCAACCAAGCTATACTGGTGAGGAGCAAGTGTTAACTAAGTAATACTGGTGCTGAAGTCACGTGTCAACAAGCTACACTGGTTAGAAGCAAGTGTTAACTAAGTAATACTGGTACTGAAGTCACGTGTCAACAAGCTACACTGGTTAGAAGCAAGTGTTAACTAAGTAATACTGGTGCTGAAGTCACGTGTCAACCAAGCTACACTGTTGTGGAACAAGTGTTAACTAGGTTATACTGGTGCTGAAGTCACTTGTCAACCAGTTGATACTGTTCAGGTACAAAGATGCACCAATCAATTACAAACTTCTCTGGTTTTATGAGCACGTGTCAACTATTCTATACTGCTGTGAGGATCACCTTGCAATGTCACTTGCCAGTCAGGATTGAATACTGGTGTTAAAGAGTAATTGTCAACCAGGATGTCCTGGTGCCGAGAAACAACGCTACATTGGTGTTCTGGGGCACGGTCAACCATGCTTTGCTGAGGAGTACACATGTACCTGCCTAGGGATCTGTCAACACTGTATGTATTGTACTGGTGCTGAGGAGCACCTGTCAACTTTGAAGGTTGTGTATGAGGCATCAGTTTTATATTTATTGTCAATTTGTGATATCACCCATTGGAGTGGTTGATATGAAATATCAGAATATTAAGTGATATCGCTGATTTAAATTGAAAGTTGGTCTTTTCGAATTAGTGAAATGAATTGGTGATATCACCTCTTTGTAATTTACCTTCACTATCGAGCATCGACTTTTGGATCGAAGAACAAATGATGCAAGAACGATGACGCAATGGTGGATTGACAATAAAGTGTGTGCACGATGGAGCTCTATCATCATCGAAGCATTGCTTTATCGCCTTTTCACACTTCTCTATCGCCCTATATCGTGCCATTGCTCCATCGACCCAACTCTCGATGATGCGACAGTGAACTGTGTGGTCCTAGTACCTGACTGGAGTCCATATGTACAGACTCCTCTTCCTCTGAATTTGAATTACATAGTTCTTGACGGGACATGCATCGTCCGTAAAACTCATGTTAAAAAATACATAATTCAACCATTTAACGATACTTTTTATTCAAAGCAGATACAAAATTTAAATGAATATTTTACTAAAAACTGTAATAGAACTTCGGAATCTTTTTAACAAGAAATCAAACTTTCGAGCTCTTGCCATTAAAATTTAACTTTGTGAATATTCCTGATAAACATTTACATTATTATTCATCTTAACTTGAGGTCGTAACCATCGATTGGGAAGATTGTCAATACTTATTCCTCAGCAACGATGGAGAGTATTTTCGTTGCAATTTTTTGTTTAAATACTAAATGTGTAATTTTTTTTTCATTATTTGATAGACTTGTAGAACTCGCAACACCGGCGATAACTCTCTGTCCAGTTAAACAAGGGAGAATAACCCAGTTGATTTTTGGCCTTTTCGTAAGAGAAACTCCACTTTTTGTTCGTATATCGCACTGTTGAAGAAGATACTGGTAAGTTTATTTGTTTTAATGGCGATATGAACCAAACGATCCACTCCAACAGTAAAACAATGGCCAGCATCAGGATATAAGGAATCGGTCTTCCTGCTAGTCTACCGCCATGAAGTTTTATGAAGAGTTCGTTAAATTGAAACAACCCCATCAGAGGGGTTTCATCTCCAACGAAGTATGCCTCTCCCCCTGCCGACTTATCGTGGTAAAGTGTATCTAAAGCACAGACAAATCCCCATGCCATGTTGCCAACATAAGCGTTCTGGCAATATGACTGAGGGTTTCCGAAGTGATAGAGGACACCGCCTTGTTTCCGAGTAGCACGTATGACTGCCGTCACGAAAATGGGGTCAAGTTCTCCGTACATAACTCCTGGTCGAAGTACGACGGTTCGTAAACGTTCACCTGAAAAATATTGACTATGTACATGTATACATTTATTTCTTCATACCTATTGTTTGTTTTTCTGAATTGCATGAATCCAAGATATAATACACGAATGAAGAGGAAAATCTGAGTGATACGAACATTTCTTACTTAGTAACTAATGATTCCCAAAACACAAGAACCATTCAAAAAGACAGATTAAATCATTTTGTGAGTCAGCTGTTAATGTGATGGATCAAAGCCATCATCCCAACGACTAGGATCTTGATTCAATATCAAATGTTGTTGTAGAACCGCTGACTAAATTCATTTTGGGAGGGGGTGGGTGCTTCTTTCATGTTGACGAACTAATCAAATGTTAAAAAGTTTTTCAGATTATACCAAATATATTTAGGAATCAGATGACACCTGAAATGCACGTGTTACAAGTTGTAACGTGTTACAAGTTGTCACGTGTTACAAATTGTCACGTGTTACAAGTTGTCACGTGTTACAAGTTGTTTTTCATCGACAGATTCAAAGATAAGAAAAACAATCAAGATTTGTAGGTTTTTTTTCAAAAGATTTGCATCAGTCATCCCGTAAAATATCGAAACAAAAGTTGCCCGAAGTCCCAGAGCAATATTCTCAACTGACTCGGAACAACGAAGACCATTTGTTACGTACCATTATTAAGAGGCGTTCCATGTTTTCCTAGTACAATGTGCTCTGCCTCTAATTTTGTCCTGGCGTAATCTCCGAAGCAGAGATTGTGTGGTTCCACGGAGTACGTCTCGTCTATGTTGGACTGGTCTGACATATCCAGGGCCGTGTCCTGAGTGGAACAGGATATAAAGATACCAACATTAGACTCCACACAGGCCTCTAATAACAGGGCTGTTCCTAGGAAGGGAAATTAAGCATATACAGGATCCTATTATTGTTAAACATTTAATGTATATGTCTTATTTTTAACAAGAGGCCCATGGGCCACATCGCTCACCTGAGAAGCTTTGACCATTCTGTTCTTTACCAGATTTCCCCCTTGTAATACATTATGTATCCCCACCCTACCCCACTGATCATAATTAAGACATTTTGAAATCAACTACCCCAGGATCCTTCCATGTGCAAATAAGTTTCAGCTTTTCTGGCCCAGTGGTTCTTGAGAAGAAGATTTTCAAAGATTTTTCCTATATATTTTTATGTAAAACTTTGATCCCCCCATTGTGGTTCCACCCTTCCCCTGGGGGTCATGATTTGAACAATTTAAAATCTACATTACCCAAGAATGCTTCCACATAAGTTTCAACTTTTCTGGCCCGGTGGTTCTTGAGAAGAAGATTTTCAAAGATTTTTCCTATATATTTCTATGTAAAACTTTGATTACCAATTGTGGCCCCACCCTTCCCCCGGGAGTCATGATTTCATTTAGAATCTACACTATACCAGGATGCTTCCACCTAAGTTTCAGCTTTTCTGGCCCAGTGGTTCTTGAGAAGAAGATTTTCAAAGATTTTTCCTATATATTTCTATGTAAAACTTTGATTCCCCATTGTGGCCTCGCTTTTGGGGGTCATGATTTGAACAATTAAGAATCTACACTACCCAAGAATGCTTCCAATAAGTTTCAACTTTTCTGGCCCAGTGGTTCTTGAGAAGAAGATTTTCAAAGATTTTTCCTATATATTTCTATGTAAAACTTTGATTCCCCATTGTGGCCCCACCCTTCCCCCGGGGGTAATGATTTTTACAATTTAGAATCTACACTATCCCAAAATGCTTCCACATAAGTTTCAGCTTTTCTGGCCCAGTAGTTCTTGAGAAGAAGATTTTCAAAGATTTTTCCTATATATTTCTATGTAAAACTTTGATTTCCCATTGTGGCCCCGCCCTTCCCCCGGGGCTCATGATTTGAACAATTTAATATCTACACTACCCTAGGATGCTTCCACATAAGTTTCAGCTTTTCTGGCCCAGTGGTTCTTGAGAAGAAGATTTTCAAAGATTTTTCCTATATATTTCTATGTAAAACTTTGATTCCCCATTGTGGCCCCGCCCTTCCCCGGGGGTCATGATTTGAACAATTTAATATCTACACTACCCTAGGATGCTTTCACATAAGTTTCAGCGTTTCTGGCCCAGTAGTTCTTGAGAAGAAGATTTTCAAAGATTTTTCTTATATATTTTTATGTAAAACTTTGATTTCCCATTGTGGCCCCGCCCTTCCCCCGGGGGTCATGATTTGAACAATTTAAAATCTACACTACCCTAGGATGCTTTCACATAAGTTTCAGCTTTTCTGGCCCTGTGGTTCTTGAGAAGAAGATTTTTTAATGACCCCACCCTATTTTTGTCTTTTCTTGATTATCTCCCCTTGCGAGGGGATATGTCCCTTCGTTTTAACAATTTCAATTCCCCTTCACCCAAGGATGCTTTGTACCAAGTTTGGTCAAAATTGGCCCAGTGGTTCTTGAGAAGAAGTCGAAAATGTGAAAAGTTTACAACGGAACAGACATATTTCAGACATCAGACAGACGGACAGACAGACGGACGGACAATGGACAAAATGTGATCAGAAATGTTCACTGAGCCTTCGGCTCAGGTGAGCTAAAAATATATATATATATATATATATATATATATATATATTATATATATATATATATATATATATATATTTTTATATATATATATATATATATATATATATATATATATATATATATATATGACATTTGGGAATGTGCCGACACTGATGACCGCGGCCAGGTGAACCACACAGTCCACCTTCTGCACGGCTCTTCTGACCACTTCCGGGTCCGTGATGGAACCAGTTATACATTCTGTTGTTATCATTGGCTGGTAATCTGAACGATTCAAGGATAAAATAAAGACATTTCAATAAAAAAAAAATGACGTATACATTTTTAATGTATTTAAGGAATCATTGTCTTCCTGGTACGTAAAATATCAAAACCGTTTAAAATACTGGAAAACGTCAGATATTTCGGACTAAAAGAAATAAAGTGTCAGAAATTATACATTGTGTACTCATTTCTTATTTAAAAAAGAACACATAACTAAATCAAACAAAAATATTTCATATGGTCAATTTAAAAATAAATATTCACAAAAGACAAGGTTCTTTTTTTTTAAACAAAATAAATTTGGTCATGTCACTGTGTGAATTTCAAAAAAATAATAATAATTTATTGAAGTTTACGCTGAACCAAAACTTAATTTAATCCTGAATACATTTTCTTTGTTAGGTACATACCTAATTTCTGAACGTAAGTATCCTTGTCTAACAACACAAGGTAGTCAATAAACTCCGCCTTCTCCTGCAACAGTTTGACAACATGCTGACCCAGGAATCCATTGGCACCCGTTACAAGAACAGAGCACGGCATCTTGTTACATGTATATGTCAAGCACCACGGAGAACTGAAAAAAATATATTTATAATGCAAATAGAGAATCTTTGAAGAAATAATGATAATACGGCTTGACCAACTGATGACATTCGATTTTCAATAAGTTTAACATATACTATTCAAAAGCATCTTAATTCGCACGTCAAGGGTTTCGGTCGAGCAAAGCGGACCCCAAACCCTTGGTTTGCCAAGATGATTTAAAGGAAGATCCAGAATTTTTCAGAATTGGCCTATATTCACTCGGAAGAAAAACAAATCGACGAGTCGGAGTTTTTTCCCAGACAAAAAGAACTTAAAAAAAACGACCCAACCCCCTTACCGAGAAAAAAAACCCAATCAAACAAAAGATTTATGGGTACAGAGCACATTCCGCAGAGGAGGAGGGTTGAAACTCGGCCAAAATTACGGTGAAAGGTTCATAACCCCTCCCCACCGAATCCGCCTAAGCTATATTATGATGGCACATGATCATATCGTTGGTAAAGATAAGTAAGTGGTTTAGGTCAAGCAAGCTGAAATGCTGTGTTTATTGGGACAGTCAGAGTTTGATAGGAATAAAATCTTACCAGATGCTGTCATTTGACAGTTAAAGACATACTCGTAGGTTTAATGTTTGCCTCTTTAAATGTTTGTCACTTTATGAATGTTAACAATTTAGGTACATCCAAAGGTGCAACATTTATGCAATTTTGATCTGACATAGGATTTTATTCTAAAGAGATATCTCTCTTCGCTATTTTTATTTAAAATTGCGTTTTAATGACAGGGAGGAAGCTTTTTATATGAAAGTATTTTGAAAATTCGACATATAGCTGATTATTTCATGAGCTGAGAAAATTGATCCATTGCATTTGAGATTTTGTTTACCGGTACTTTCGTTTTCCTGCATATTAACTTTTAGCATGTTTATCAACACAATTACCTTTATTATTTGTTGTTTCAAAAAAGAATTTATAGCATTTTTTGTCTACATAGTACATACGTTATTCTTCTGGGTATGACATGCGCAGTCTTTTTTCTCATAACAACAAAATTATTCCAGAGACTTGAAAAGCGGGAGGGTATAATTTATAGTAATCGGTCTGTCCGTCTGTCCGTCCGTTACGCTTTAGACACATCTCTTATCCGCAACTCCTCTCACACCACTGAATGAAATTCGATGATGAATCTTTATTATATATTATGCACCTCCTATTTAACTTTTTGATCGGACACATATTTTGGGTTTCCCACAGCAAAAATAGACACCACCATTATATTCATTAGGGAGGCGGGGGTATCATTTAGTGAGCTCATTGCTCACAGTACCTCTAGTTAATTATTTTACTTTAAGGATCATTCGTAACTACTCGGCCATTTTCCGAAAGAAAAATACGAGTTGTTTACCGTTTAAGGGAATGGCCGAGTAGTTTTAGTTACGGTTGTGGAAAAGAGATATCTCTTTCATTAAAAGAGATATCCCTTTAGCTTAGAAAGATATCTCTTTTTCAAGATCTAAAGAGATATCTCTTTAACTAAGTCAGTAAGAAAGATATCTCTTTCAATCTTGTTGAAGAGATATCTCTCTAACTTTTAAAGACATCTCTCTTGCTCAAAAAGATATCTCTCTATAGCTTATAAATAAAGATATATTTCCAAGTACATGTAAATAAGATGTCTCTCTTACAAAAAGAGATATCTCTTTTGTTGAAAGAGATGTCTCTGAGGTATCAAGATATCTCTATTAGTCTCTATTAGAGACATCTCTTTTAGTTAAAGAGATATTTCTATAAGCTAAAAAGATGTCTAAAAAAGTTATCTCTTTTAACCTTGTTAAAGAGATATCTCTCTAACTTTAAGAGATATCTCTCTCGCTTAAAGAGATATCTCTCTAGCTTATACAGATATCTCTCTGAGTAAAAGAGATATCTCTCTTGCAAAAAGTGATACCTCTTTTGTTTAAAGAGATATCTCTCTATGGTATAAAGATATCTCTTTTAGTCAAAGAGATATCTCCATAAGCTAAAGAGATATCTCTCTTATTGATTGAAAATTTTTATTTTACGAATAAATGGTAAAAGAGCTTGCCATAAAATAGAATCATTTGAAGATGAGAATGAAAATTCGATTTGGAATTTATGACTCGAATTGGTTTTCATACGATTCTTACCATTGAACTTTGTCTTTAATTGATGATTAGCACTGGAATTATTATGTCGATATTGAGAATATCACTGATCGATGTCCAAATGCTCATCTAATCCAAGACGACTTCTAATCTTAATGTAGCTGACAGATATTTATCACAATCCAGTCCTTTAAAACGCACATTGAACCACAGTAGCAATGTTACAGTTTGTTGACAAGTATACGGCAGACCCAAGGTGTTTTAAAATACCGGTATACATGTAGTGCATGTAAAGGATTGATATATTTCTATCTTTGTATGTCACATTGATGATTGACACCCGATAATCTCTCCATCTGGGTTAATTATCATTTGTATGATTACTTCATTACTTGAACAATCTCAACTGCATTCGAGAATAACTTAAAATAAAACAACCATGTACAATATATATGAAATATGTTTCACTGAGCTCAATAAAATATGGAAGAAAGACATCATTCAACATTCTACTAAACGATAAAAATTGTACTTGCTAACAAGCTTAAGGTTAATGTATTGACCATAACATAATAAAATTTTTAACTTTAAAGGAGTTTGTTGATATCCCAGTATCACTAACTTGTTTGTCAATAGCTAGCCGCGATTTAGAAATTGATTCAGGGGCGTAGTATCCGGATCCAAGGTATTTAACTTACACTAAGGAAATGTTAATTGAAAGCCTGGTTGGCCCCCCACTTTTAAAATGTACCGAAAATGTTATAAGAATTGGTACTAAAAGTAGTTGACACTGAACCCCCCCCCCCCCCCCCCCCCCCCCCCCCCCCCCACGAAATAGGATTTTCGACTTTGGGCAAAAAATCCCTTTTTTTTTTTTTTTTTATACACCTAGTTGTCAATTTTTCAGGTAAGTAAAAAAAAAATTTTTCTCTGCCTGGCCCCCCCACTTTCAAAAACGATGATACGCCACTGTGATTGTTCGTAGAACATGGTCTTGCGTATCAAGTCAACTGGAAGATTTTTTTTCAGAGCAGAGAGCTACAGACCTGCAGCTATTAAAACTTTGCATTGGTACATGTAAGTTCAGAAATATCTAAAACAAACTACATTAAGACCATTTTGCCCCTTATCCTGTTTGTGGATTTCAGTCCAAGGAGTGCAATACATGTAATTCCATAACCAAAGATAAGGGGGCATGTATAGTTTTTGCTGTGTCTGTCTATCTGTTTGTCCATAAAAACTTTAACCTTGTCTATAACATTTTGGTGATTGGAGCTATAGCTTTCATACTTCAAAGTTGTATCGTTCTTTGGGTACTTTTTTTTTCATGTCTTGACTTTGAAGTTTGACTTGCATTTGATATAAATTAACCTTTGTCATGAGCTGCTACACAGGGACATCAGTGTTTCACATACACACCGTTATAAATTTTTCACCAATTTTCAGAGTACACTTGCCTCAGGAGTTCACCGTCTGCCAGATCTAAGGGGTGTTAAGAAAGTTCGTTCCACGATGAAATATTTTCAAAAATGTCAAAGTAGTGCTTAAGTAAAGAGACGAATTTTCAAGTCTGACAAATCACAAGAGTTTACTGTAGATTTATAGCAATTCATTTCTAGCAGGAAATTATATGCTTTTTCTTCCATATGAAAATATATGCAACATCTTTATTAAAGCACCCAAATGATAGAAATGCAATTCATTTTGAGTGAAAATAAAGGATAATTTACTTTTGTTTCTTCATAGCTTATCTTGCGTCAGACAAGTTGATGTGCGTAGGTATAAGAACGATAGATCACTTTTCAAAAGAATAGATTTGTCATATTGAAGTTTTAAAAGATTTGATAATTTTTTATTAGTGTTTGAAAAGGATGTTTTGACCTTTGTGCTTAATATATGTTAAAAAAATCATCCCTATTTTGTCTGTTTTAATACCTTCCCTCCTCTTATTGATTCAACAAAAGACAGTTGAAACCTTATCAGTAGCAAGAATGGATTCTGTAAACATATAATATCATAAATTTGAAATATCTTCTCATCGTATTTTTTGTCGAAAATGAAAGAAAAATTTGGAACGAACTTTCTTAACACCCTTTACATACCTTATATCATAACTTGTCAAACACGTACATTTTGTGTATGAATATGAACGATAATCTTGCTTGCACTGTTTACCAAAATCAAATGCTTTATTTTTTTCAAATCTTAATATTGACTTATACTGAATAATTTAAGGAAACAGCATCAACCTATCTTTACAGTAGCTCAGGTGTATGTTGTACAAGTACAGAAAAGATAATATTGCAATTCTCAGTTAACCTTGGACTTTCAGTAAGGTGTGGCATTCTTGGCGCTACATAATTTATAAATTAGCGTCTGTTAAGTGGCGAATAAATTCTCATTGGTTATGGAATGAATAACATCAGGAACTTTAAATTGTTGTTGACAATAATGAGATAACATAAGCCCAATCTCTTTGCTGTACAAGACAAGGTTATTGCATATTTGCTACACTTGTTGACATTTGCCTGAATTTCTATCCCATGTATGTTTCAACAGTGAATGAAAGCTAATTATGTAACATCGAGAATGCCCCACCTTACTGAAAGTCCAAGCTTAACTGAAAATTGCATTAATGATTTTGAGTCATTTTTCAGATCTCGGTTATAAACTACACATCTTTTAAATTAAGGTTTGATGTTCATCTTTCCTTAAAAAATTACACAAAGACATTCTGAATATACCGTTTTATTTCAGTTGACTTTTTCACAAATACACTATACAAAGGTCAACATGTTAACCTTGGGTGAAATCAGAGATAATCGTTTATTACTTGGTGAAGGTAATGTGTGCTAACAAAGAAAATGAAGGATTTCCCCAAGGCTGAATTTTACAGTGTCCACAGAAACAATTGTACAGAATGACGTCACAGGTCAATCAGTTTTTACAGAATGACGCCATTGGTCAAGAACATTCTATTTTTAGAAATAAAAATCTGAATATTAACTTGACTTGCATGTTTCAAACAAAACCTTGAATTAATAGACCGACATCACAAAACCTCTTATTTTAAGAAAGTCTGGACTTTCCCACATAGAACTATTCTTTGGCACATATTTGCTTTTCATTACTTTGCCATAATGGTTTGAATATACCCTTTGTAAAGTCTTCACTTCAGTCAAATAAATAAACTAATCTAAGTTAGTCTACTCTATGCAAAACTGGATGCAGGTCACATGACAGTCTATTCTAATTCACTTTTAGAGATTTTTAATGGTCACCTCTGCCCTTGATGAGTGGTATCAGATTTCATAAAATATATTAAAACACACCATAAATAATGTATATGTATTATAGGATTTGTCCTAGTCTATATTAAGTCTACACTAAATACCAATAAGGTCACACATATATATTCCCCACATATAAGAACTTGTTACATAAAGCATTGACATGCATTTCCATGTTGAGTGAAAATGATGCCAATATTTTTTTTTACTTTAAACACCAACTATTGCACTAGACTTAGCACCTCAAGGCAGGTCAAGAAGGTGGGAATTCTCTTCACTAGTTTTGAGATGCCCCCTCCCAAACAATACACTAGTTTTGAGATGTCCCCCAAACAACGACAGCAACAAAGACATGAACCACAAGTTAAAAAGGGGCCTTAAATGCCTTGTGTGCATTGAGACAGTGCTGTATAAAAGTGATCCATGGCACGGGAGTAGCTGCAACTTGGAAACTTGTGATCCTAGGCTACTAATTCTACCATTAAGTAATTTATTTTACACATGAATCTATACGTATTACAGTTTTAGCAGATGTTTCCCTGAGATTTTAGATTGAAAGTCCAAATTGGTAACAATTTTCTTCAAACAACAATTATTTTCATCCTGGCAAAATTAAGTATACAGTCCTAAGTAAGAAAACACACATTTGTGACTACCAAAGAGTGGGAAAAAACACCAGGACTTATAAAATAAAAAGTTGATTTGAAAAAAATTAGTATCAACACAGTCTTTCTTTTTCTCCATTACATCAAGAGCAGAGATGACCTAAAGTGATTGTCATGTGACCTATTTCCAATTCTAGGGAATGTTTTTTGTCTAAACCATTCATCCATGCTGTTGTTTTGTTGTTTGTTTTTGACAGTTTTTAAACGTCACGTTGATTGAACCTGCCGACGAATGATTTCAGTCTCTAACGCTTCATGCTAAGTAACAAACACAAGTTTTCCCCCCAATATCAATCAATTTTCAATAGACCAGATCACTTTATTTTTCAATCTTTGTCAATGGCTTATATCAAATTCTATTTTCAGACTGAATGCCAAAAGTGACAGTTCCCCTGGGTATCTTGTGGTGTTCCTTAGCAATGAGCTCTCTATTTTCAATCTACTGATAATGAAAATTAAATATGACCAATATGTACAGTTGTAATTTAAGTTAAAACTTCAATAGTATATTCAGGTAAGGAAAAACATTAACATCATTTATACATAAACTTGGTTTGACTCTCTACATTGAAAACTCACAAATGATGATTTGTGAAATTTGAGACATTTTTGGACCCTGATAAAAGTTGGTATACAAGTTTTCTTATACAATTAGCACTAAGGCATAATTTATCTTGGTTAATATAATCAAATTATTTTGAATCATAAATGTCTGTCCTGTTACCATGACAACTCTCAATTCTAGATTTCTCTTTGTGATAAAATTAACTTTTCAAGATTTTGAACCTGAATCATCTTCTCCATGGCAACAAATAATCAGACAAAAATGAAGGTTATGTACAAGATCAGTATCACAAGGATAAAGATTGAAAATGAGGCTTTCATGTCTGCCCAAGCAGCTCTATTTATAGCCCCACCAACACCTGCAAAAGCCCCGTCTAACCATACAAATCGTTAAGCATCATTTTCAATCTTTTTTCTAACTGTGTCTAAAAGATAATGCTCTCAAATGTGAAAACATTATCTTTGTCCATTATAAAGTGTCAATATAATGATTATATATAGATAAATGTTAGTCATACATTTTATAACTTACATAATATACACAGATGATACCCTGCCCATAAAGCAATGGTGAGAAGAACTACGCTACTAATATAAATCCACTAATCTACCACAAGTATAATGTGTATAATGAATGTAAAAGACAAGAGGAAACAACACAACTTTCTTTACCCAGAAAATTTATAAATAATAAAATACAGTTTGATACATACATAAATGCCCAAAGTTTCAGATAAAGTGGTCAAAGTTTGCAATATTTTGTCATAAGAACTTAAAATGCTTCGATAAAAAGACAAAAATCTAATAAAACCACCTGGGTAAAGAAAGCAGGATTAAGATATTAATATGTACATGTATATAAAATGATAAAATTTTCGAATGAGGTTTTTTGGTAAATTAAGTTGATCAACAATACAATGTATATGTCACATAAACTGTACAAACAAGTTTTAAAATTCCTCGTAGAATGGTCACTGACACTTATACAGTGTTGATAGATTCAAAGTCTGTAAAGATCAATTATCAAAACGTTCTTATTTCAAATATATCTAAAAATCATAAAAAAATTTGTGTAAATAAAGAGTAGGTTCATGTATACTTTGAATCAATTTGGCTGTGTTTGTTTTGAGTTTCTGACTTTGATAAATCAATGCTGTAGCGCCAGTGACAATTCTACTTTGTGGGCCCCCTTTTGCTCCCCAGGGTCATACAACAATTAATAATAAAAATGTTTTAGTCCCCTGTATAACAACCTTAGTATTCAAATAAAAAAAAAATCCAACAATGATTTAATATAATAAAAACTTGCGTAAAACTTTAGCACATATGCTCTCTCATAAAAACTACTTATCTACAGTATATAAATCAGAATTGTGACAACCCACTAAAGTGAACACCTGACTCAAAAGAAAAAAAAGCAGTCTACACTAAAACACACCCAGAAATCAGGTCACATTTTCCATTAAGTCCTCCACGTATTGGTATTCCATAACAACACAACAGTTAGAAAGATCATGAAAACAGTGACAAAACAGCCTCTTGAACAGGCTGCATAAGCTTTTTACATTGGTTTTTGTTTTTTTTAACACACAGAGGTTAAAAATTTCTTTTTGTTGTGTAAAACATTAACTCAGGTCTAGTCTGAACAAAGTGACTAGAGAAGTCTTCATGAAAATATAAACACATCTTTACCATAAAAAAAAGAGAACTTTGTGCATGTAAACTGAACACAACCTTTGAATTTTTCACAAGAAATAAGTGGGACAGGTTTTAGTGTAAAAGAAGAATAAAGAGCAAATAAATAAACAATATTCATTCTACAATTGTGCCTAAATCTACAATCAGATCTGCTGCAATATCACACACTGTGGTATATAACAATATAATCACAAAGAATTCACTAAGTTCTTATTGCTGAGAGTTATTTGCTTTGGATAATTAACACTAATATCACAAGGGCAGGACATTCTCCCACCATTTAACCAATCATATCTTTGGCCAGACATTTTGCAGTCACAACTTCTTGGGAAAAAAAAAACATGAATATAAAATATGTTAAAATAGTTTTTATAAAAAAAGGTAGCTGAACAGTGTTTTAAAAATTATTGCTATAGAAGTTTCCAATTTACCTGAATGTAAAAATGATGACAGTTAAAATCAATAACAGTTAATATTCTACTATTTTTTTCTTTTTATACAGATGAGACCAGATGTGGCTCAATTAAAGTAAAATGTCCTGTATAACCAAATGGTCAAATGTGACCTAAATGTGAGATGAAATTAATCCATTCATAAACATTTAATTCTAGCAATAAATACTACTGTTGAATAAATGCTTCAAATATTTCACAATTTTCACCTGATCTTCACTTGATTCACACATGAGATAAATGAAAAAAATTAAAAATGAGAAAAGTCATAATAAAACAAAAAATAAAACATTTTTACATTAGTATATATATACATAATAACAAAGAGTTGATAAAAGCCAGTAAAATTGATCAAAATTAAAAAGAAAAAAAGATTGATCACATTTAAATGTGCCATTCCTTTAAGTTCTTATTGTACCGATTCAGAAATCCTTTCATGCAACTTCCCGATAAAATTATATAAATCAACCAATCAGCAATGAGATTACATTTGCTGCGTCCAGTATGCGTCCAATGTGTGCAGATGACTTTGCATATTTTCCACTATCTGATGCTTAATGGTAGCCGTTCTGGAAACCTTGTGGTATCAGTTGTGCCTGAAATATAAAATTCAAATTCAAGTCACTGCATCTGCAGAAAATAATGTTCTCTTTCAACTGTTATTCAATTAAAAAAAAAATCAAAATTTTTATTTTGCATTATAATGAATTGAGATGATATTCATTTTTTTTTTCATTTTGACAAACAGAATTTACTTTTTATGCATAAAGATTATCAGTGGAAAAAAAGAATAATATGTCAGAAATGAAATTTGAAAAATGCCAAGTGTTAAAATGTCAATCACTTTTCTAACAACTTCAGGGTTGAAGAAAATAAAAGAGGTCAACTACGAGCTATATTTGTCATCTACTGCTTCAAACAGCATGCAATCATGTTCTTTTCTGTATGGGAATTTTATGAGACCTGCTACCAGGCAACATGCCATGGAAATTACCAGTACATGTATCTACTTATCCGATGATAGTAAGAAAAAGTAGAACTATACTGACACATGCATTGAAGAAAGAAACTACACAGATAGTGTTAATTTTTTGCCCTTGAAAATAAATTAAATTGTAATTAATCTACGCTTTGCATGAAGATTGCCGAGGCAATTCAGATGAACATTTGGTATGCAGCAAATGAATCTGATGGCGAAATGAAGATAAAGCAGAAACAAAGAGGTGGCTAGTCTACGGACATACCTTACTTAACACATCGTGAATGTATCTATTTGAACTAGTGGCATCAACGTATCCTAGTCCATCGTGTATACCATACTAGACAAAAGAGGAGTGCCCAGTCAGTGTTATCTTTACTTAGTGCCAAAACCTCACAACTTGATAAGCTTTCCAAAACTTGCTTTTCTAGAAATTTCCATCATCCAGAAAAAAATTCTCTACTACCAAAGGATTAATTATAAACTAGCATCTACTTCTCAATTATCACTACAAATCTGGGTCATAAGTATGCTTTGAAATTATTAAATATATTATCATTTGAAATAGCATCTTTATGGAAAGTAGTATGATGTATATATCATGCTTTTTTTATCGTTTTCCTTTCACAATAGGTGCACACATAAAAATCTACATTACTTTCTACAACCAGTTTAAAGATTTCTGAAATTATTGGCACCGCTATTCTTGCCTCCTCAATTTATTTTTCATTAATCAATGAATATATATTAACATCTCTCTCTCTTTTTTTTTTTAAAACAAATCTAAAAACAGCTTCATGATGAATTTGTCAATTGTATTTCAGAAAACTCTCCACTGGCCAGCTAATATAAACAACTAGTGTTACATAGGGATCTACTCTACACAGTTAGAGATGTAAATACTTACTGCAGTGTTGAGAGCAAAGCCTGTGGGCTGAGGGCTAGTGGCCTGGATGTATCCAAGCCCGTCCTGGGCAATAAAGGTATCCACGGGCCCGGGGCTGGTTGTCAGGGGCACGGAGCGAGTGCTGGGAGAGGTAGCGGTGGGGAATCCCTGGTGTCCGAGACTACTCATCATGGCTGAAAAGTCAAATAAACATGCTCTGACTGAACATACTCATGCTAGCATACACAGCAACTCAGTTCTTTAGACCACCCCCCTCCAAACACCATACACAGCAACTCAATTCATTAGAACCCCCCTCTCCAAACACAGACATAGCAATCCATTTCATTGGACATCCCCAAACACCATACACAGTAACTCAATTCATTAGGGATTTCCTAGCATAAAACCATCTTGGCACTGTTAATTTGTCTTATAACATGTAGAACCCACAACTTTCAGCAGCAAATTTGTCATCCACTAGTGCACGACTAATCTGTTCTCAAAGCAGCACAGTTTATACATTTATTGTCTACAACATGCAGATATCCTTCAGTTAACTAAAGAGACCTTTAACATACATATACTAATAAAAGACAAAAATGAAATTCTTTAGAACACAGTGAGAATGTTTAGGTTTTGTAGGCAAACTACAGAGATTTTTGAAGACATCATAAAATATTTACTATTTCCATATAAAATAAATAAATCTAAAGATATGCTGTACGGTAACTAAATTTTCATGATTTGCATGCCCCAAGTGTTAGGTTTTCTCAGACTCTACTATTAATGCTATATTGTGTATATCTAATATTTCTGAATGGAGACAAAGGGAATTGGCATTAACCAAATGTGCATATCCAAAGCACAGAGTTGTAAGTAAATACTTTCATAATCTACTACTTTCACATACTTTTATAATCTACTCTTTTATGTAAAGTTTCTATTCAAGAGATCTGGCATGCACTTATCCAAAAAGTATTCCTAGAAATCTATTTCAAGCAGAAATCCACATAAAATAAAAAAAGAAACTAATTACATCATGTAAGTAAAAGGAATGAACAACCAACTTTGTTCAGATATTAAAGTGCAGTTAGAAATTAACCTCCTGTCATGTTAGTACTAGTTTACATTACTGTAAAATCACATATTTTCATGGGGTCAGATTTTTGTGGTTTAAGGAAAGACTTTTGTTTCATGGGGATTTGATTTTCTGGATGAAGAATTGTTGATTAGTAATACATGTAACATTTTACATTTCGTGGGGGACATGAATTTGTGGGTCTCTTTGTGCCTCATAAACAACGAAAATTAACCCCCCACCAAAATTTGTGATTTCACAGTATATTGAAGAATCAGGTGTAGATTTTGTACAATACTCCAGAAAATTTTTAAAAGTTATGTTTTTTTCAGTGCAACTTCAACATAGGAGCTGAAACCATTTTTTTCTCCCTCCAGGGTAGAGTCTGAGTATGCAGTCAATGATAAAGAAGTCAAACTTGTAAGAAATATAACCTTCATCAAAGTTATCATTTCTCACAAGTTTTCTTCTTCCAGTTTAATTTGATATGAATTATCGAGATACAATTTATCTATCAGCCTGTAATCTTCCTTTCTGTGCTCCTTGAACTACCGGTTTTTCACTTAATCTTTTTTTCCTTGGCCACAAATGGCATTCGGATCACAAAAATAAGTATCAAGTAATACCTGTTCTTTGTGCCGTGAGAAGTTGTTCTCCCACCCTAGCCAAGGGGGAGTTACTGACGGGCAGTGGGGAAGGCTCACTGCGCTGTATTTGTAGGGCGTTGGCAGCCAAGGGGCTAGTAGTAGCACCAATATCTGCATATATGGCAGGGGAGACCTGTCGCTCACCGGGGTTAGCTGTGGGGGTTTGTATTAAACCAGCGGGGTAACCAGGGAAGCCTATACAAAAGACGACAACACACGATAAGAGACCTAGTCAGTTACTCAGAACACTTAAAAAAAATACATTTGAAAAAGGGAAGTAACTCTTAAACTCTATATATTTCTTCTTTTCAATTATCATATATAAATAATAACAAGTAAATAATGGGTTTTTATATATTGGTCCCTATGAAATTTTGTATAGGCTGGCTTCCCTGGTTTTGCAATGTCTAATACAGAACAACGCACACACTTTATGAAGATGCATTTTCTACATGACATTTAAGCCATGATTATTTTCTATTGCTACTATTCTACAATATGATATGCTTCTTTTCTTTAAAAAAAAATACTGTGTAGAAAATTTGCTAATTGATATTAAAGTGAAAGCTAAAAACACTATGGATTTCAGTCATCTCTCCCTCTTTTTTTTTTTTTTTTTTTTTTTTTTTAAATTTTGATTGTATTGGTAAGAAAGGCCAAAACAGTTATTTCATTTTTCTTTTAAATACCACATGCACGAAAATAAACAAAATACTACAATAAGCACTGGATCACTACATCTACTTAAATCTAGATATTACGGAAGCTTGAATAATAGTGTGGCGATGATTCTATTTTCAGACATGCAAAATCAGCGGAACAGCCATTATTAACAATGTCAACAAAACAGGCATTCTCAAAGGTAAGTCAAATCATAATCTACCATTAAAATACAAAAAAATTATCATTTAAATTATTATGCGTACCAAAACAAAAAAGGGTAAATAAGAAATACAGTAATCAATGATTGAATCAAGTTATATTTTCCTTTTTTATGCAAATTCTTTACTAACTTGATTTTTTTTCTAATAACAATACAAAATCATAAAAAAGCATAATACAATTATTTCAAAATGTTTAAAAGGAATAACATCCTCATACTTAAATTATTTTACATAAATATATATGAATAAATACCACAAACAACACCAATGGATTGAAACACACAATATAAAAAAATCACATGCACAGGTATTCTATCATGACTTGTAGCATTGTTTGGAAAATGTACAGCTTTATGCTTGAAAAATAAAATGACAGCTTTCTTGGTTATAAATTAATTCTATGCTGATGATCAAATGAAGAACTAGCTAAGTGAAGAGCAGGGTTAGTAAACAACATTGATCACATGATCAGGGTCAAATCCAGGTCACGACAGGGTCATATTTGTAGATACAGAGCGCTGGGCATTAGGGAACTATTGAGCTGAACATCAAAATGTCCTTTGCAAAGTGGACATTTCAATGACCAGCTTCCAATGCACTGACATAATCTCATAAAAATATTTGTTAAGAAGTCTTTTGCATTGTGTTCTAAGGCACATGACTTGGTGTTGCTATAGTTACTGTGGCGCTTACTTGGACTTCCTGTTATGCCCAAAACACCATGTGCCCCACCAACCCCAGCACTGCGAGCTGCGACAGCCGAGGCTGAACGTGCAACTACAGACGAGGAGTTGATTCCGTTCAAGCCTGCCAAATTACACAAAACAAATAGTCATTTCCACTTCGTTGATTTCAAACAGGCCCACAATACACGCATTATTGACCAATTATCCAGACACTATCTTCCTCTTTCGTATCATCTTTTTCTTTAGTAAGGAAACAAAATTTGTTAACAAAATTTTATTCCCAAAAAAAGACGAATTGCCTTGTCATACCAGAAAAGTTGACAGGCTTACATAGGATGAAAAGATCATAAAAATGAACAGGTCAAGGTTATTCAAAGGAAGCAGAGAAGATGTTCCTTCAGGGAAATTATTGCTATAATAAGACATCATAGTTGACACCATTTCATGTTCATTTACTTTGAAAGTTTCCAGCAGCCCAATGTAATTATAAATTTGGAAACCATTAAGCAGTAGGTAATGGAAAATCTTCTCTTCTCCTTTTTTTTAATTTTTTTTTTAATTTTTAATTTAAAAACAATTAGCAAAAATTCTACAAAATAAAATAGTGCACTACATGATTTCTTATAGAATAAAGTGTATCTCTAATAAAAATGATAACAATTTTAGTTGGTTACAGGTAATATTGATTTTCTCTTATATTTAAAAAAAAATGCACCAAATTTACCTATACTTTACTGGTCAAACAGGCAACAATAGTTAGCGATCAAACTGTGTTTTCTTGACTATTTTCAAACACTTTAATCTAAATGGTTTTATAAATTAATAGTTAATAACTACTGTATTTCAGGGGAGATCAGTGGAGAAAGTCAGGTTAATGGTCTAGATCATCCGATCACAAGGTAGGCCATAATGCAAAATCTGTTCGCTGGTCAAAAGCATTTGACGAGTCTACATTTTTTTTCATAACTTCACAGTGGACTTGTCATTTCATGGAGAAACAGAACTTTCACTAGACAATACTTATTATCAACTCCTATTAAGAATTGTAAATTATACCCATTTTATCTTTGAAAAATATATACTTTCTATAAATCTTTAAATCTACTCCATGAACTAGTGTTCTAACATGATTTAAAAAAAAATCCTTATCTTTTTTGGCAAGTTTTACAATATTATTACATTTGAGGTAGCCATGTTTAAAAGTTCAGTCATATTGAAGAAAATTTTGCCCTTGTATTTTACAATTTGGCTTGTGTATTGCTCTATGCATTATCTTAGTTTTAAACCATATAAAATTAGAAACACACACGACTTACATAACATTTAAATAATCTACTATGCTTTTTAACTGTGCATATATACTTAAAACATTATAAACAATATTACTGAACTACATGAAGTAAAGTACCTATATATATACTTAAACATATATATCTTGATAGTAAACAAAATGATAAAAAATTCAAATAAATGGATTAACAGTAATGAATGTCACTGACAACATGCCATATAAACAAATACACACATGAAAAGAAAATTCCACACCAGTGATCTGTAGGTCAGTAGTGACCAAGACTACACAGTATACAGTGGAAAAGAATCCAGCTTCATAGTTTACGACTTTGTTAGTTACATTCTGTGAGCATTTTCTAATCTACATGCCCTCCTAACAATACATAATAAAACAGAAATGACTTTCCTGTCAATTCATTGGATTTCTTTTGATACAAAATATTCCTCTGTTATAAAGTTTCTCTGGTGATAAAAACTTGCCCTCACTTCAACCAAAACCATACTCCTTGGCAACAAATATGATAAACATTGGAGCTGCAAAAATTTCCACCTAATATCGACACTAACAAAACAAAGCTTTATAGATAGGAGTACATATCTACTACATCAAAAAAAACAGAAGAAAATTAACCATAGCTAGAGTCAAAAATTACATGGCACACAATAAAATCTGTTGGGCAATATTGTACCCACTCAAAAGACTTCTGCATGCAGAGAGACAAAGATAAACAAAATCTACTTCATTCCTTCTCTCTCTCTCTCTCCATTAGAATATTTGGCACTGGAGATCACTCATGCCCTATCACTCATCACAGAAATCAACTTCCTGCAGTGCAGTTATTTTTGGCCCATTAAATTAGCCCATCAAAATATTTAAAAAATATATTAAGTACAATAAATTAACAAGCATTAAATATACAAGTAACAGAATAAATACACAACAGTTTCTGTTCGTATCGTGGTCTCAGCTGATATGTGGCTGTTTTTCTCTCCTTCCCCTATGACAGAGTATTTCCTGCGGGGCTAAAAGGTTAAGATGACAGAAAGCTTAGAAGGGGTACCACTGCCCTAGTTCTAAAATTTCCATACCTGGATAGTAATAGCCTGCAGGGGCCAGTGTTGGAAATCCGCGACCATAGGGGTAGCTCGGCAGTCCTGTAGGTAGATAACCTGGAAGTAAAGAATCCAAACACTCAATATACTGACCATACCCACAGAATTATCAAAAAAAAAAAATCATGCAATATGTCTTAAGATTTTTTCAAAAAGAAGAAAATACATTATCCATTTGTATACTTATTTCTTATATTTTTTAGGTATATCAACTTTTGGCCTTTGACCTCTATATATAACCGTGGCTTTATATAGCACCATGATCATTGAATTCTCCATAATGTATGGTTTATGGACATGCAATTTAAAATTGTAAACATATAGTAATGGGCATATTTTTTTTAATTTAAAGTTGGATCCATTTTAAATGATTTCCAAAATTGTTGAAAGCAGTTTCCTCTTAGAATCAGTGCATGCAAAATGGATGATAAACTTCGTTTTTTATGATGAATGACTCAAAGAAAAACCATGGTGCATGCATTCTGACTAACCCAAATTCCATGTGTTTATTCATTAAGTGTATCAACATTTTGAAATCCAATTTTGAAAATTTACTGGATATTTTTAATGAGAAGATACTGAACTGAATGATTCCATGCTTTTATTTACATGCTTTTTTTGTCATATCAGTATAAATTGTGTCTATTGGTTCATGAAGTATTGCTGACCCCCCCCCCTTTTTTCCGTTCTGGTTTATTAAAAGTACTCCCCTAGTGCTCTTACAATACATGCTGGTGATATTGATTCCAAAAGATGTTCTCAGTGATCTATTTGAAATAAATCCTTCAGATGTCATTCTTTTAAATCAGAATTCTATACCAAAAGCACATCCAAAAAAATGCAGTTGTTTATGGCATAAATAATTTTATACATAAGAAATATTTTACTGATAATTTTGTTTTAAAAGAGAGCCATGAAATATGAAGTTTATCTAATATGTGTAACATAATATTAAATAGAAATTTATCCTGAAACAAAAACATATTAAAAAAAAACTTTTATAAAATCATAAAGTTGATTAGTTCACACTACTAAAACAGAGACATTTAACCAAATCATGCAGGCAGATAATATACAAAAGTTCTAGGAAATTCCTACTACACAATCTAGCTGATGTCATGCATGACAGACAGTCACAGCTGAGTAATCAGGTCAGGGCTGCCAATGTAAGGAAGCAAATATAAATCCAACTACAAGGAGGCTCTGGTGGCAGCCCTAACTTGTTAAAAGTGTTAGTACACAATTGCAAGAGTTGTCTTTCTTAGTTTGTGAAGTTTCTTTTTCTTGAATTATCTTCTCCTGACCAGGACATAAAAAGAGGGGCAGTTCTGGTACAATAAGAGCAGAGGCTGAACAACTTACACAGATCCGGCATTATTAATTCTTGTGGAATTTCCCCCAAGACGATTTCACCATCCTCCGTCACTAAGAAAGGATTAGAAAAAAGGGAAATCAAGTTTTAGTGGTAGCAAGAAGCTCACACTTTGTACTAGTGCAACTGAGAACCTTTTGCTGGGCGAGGAAGCTGGTTATCTACCCTTGGGCTACATTCTAAGGTATGTATTAAGCTTAATCAGAAACAAAATACAAAAATCACGACTACAAAACACTCTAAAAGGGTATTTTTAATGTCCAGTTCTTTTAAACATTCAAAATTGAAATTCCATTCTTTTTTTAAAATACTTCCTCAAACACCCAGAAAATCAAGCTGAACTGAATTGCACTAGAATAACAGCTTTGATTGTTTCATACTTGCTTTGGAAAATGTCTCCAGCTCTGTTAAATTCTATGACACAGAAAGCACACTGTGCTTAAAATAATTCCACTGCAGGAATGAACAATCAAAGTGTTGTGAACTGTGTATATTAAAAAATAATAAACCAAAAAAAAATCTACCACAACTTCCGTGTAAAAATTTCCATTTCAGGTTTTAATTAATGAAAAAATTATAAATAACAATAGACTAGTACATTCAACAGCGAAACCTACAAATCTGTTGATCTAGAAAAAACAATGACAGAAGTGCAGTAACACCGGACAAAGCAGGGTGAGGCAGCGCAAGGTCTACTTCTGCCAGTTATCTCCCCTCTGATGCAGTTACTTCCCTTGCACATTTGACCTCTTGCCTGATGTGTAATAAGCTTGTCATCTCTCTACCACACTACCGGATTATTTTGTAGTACATTTACCACATACAGAGATAATCATCAACATGCAAAGTTCCCTCACTCACTTCATAAAGAAATGACTGAAGCAAACGTAATTCTTTTAACTTTTCACAAAAGAGGGAACTATGACTTTAATACTACCACTCAATATCTACCTTTGACAGCATGCAGAGAAAAATGAATGGCCATGGAAACATTTGGCAAAAGGTCATCATGTGCAATGAATTTATTTTTTTAAAAAAGAGGTATAATATGTATATATGTATAACTACTGTCAACCCAAAATCTACATCCAAGTGATGGACACTACTGGTGGTACTCACCGTACGCCCCCCTGGTCAGCGTGCCCCGCCCCCTGGCTAGGGTAGTGGGGAGCATGACTTCCTTTGGCTGGGCTTTCTTACACTCAACCTAAAAATTACATTAACAATTTGTTATCACTCTCCATATTTTATTTAATAAAAGTCCAAAATACAAATAGGACTGCATGTTTTCTTTTTTTTGTAATAAAAACTAATAATGTACTAGTATTATGACTTTTTGTATCATACATCATCTCTAATAATTCTATTTAAATGGTGCCTTTGGGTATTAATGACCCATGTCAGTTTGAACACTCCACAGTAGAAAGTTGGGCACCATTCTTTATCTTTAAATGACCTGTAAAATGTGTTTGTTTTGTGACTTTATGATGTGTTTGTAGGGTATTTACAGGTGTCTTAGAGCAATGTCCTATCCCTGGCCATTGTTAGGACGATGTATCTTTGTACACATTGTACAGCTTCTGTAGTATGCAAACAGGAACTACTTTTGTTGTGGTACTACACAGCTAGATGTCATGTAAATATGTTGTTTTCGTGTTACATTTCAGCTCCTATAGTCTCACTTCTTCATCATCTTACTCTGTACTGAACCCAGTATTACATGTGTTGTTTATGGCTACTTGCGAATATTAATTTTGTTTCTTTACCATTTTCTTGTTGATCTCATGGAAATGAATTTCACACACTTTGTCAACGACATCTTCAACCTCAAATGTCACAAATCCAAAACCTGCAATGACAAAATAATAATCTTCAAAACACTTTAACATGCATTTAAAACAAAGTCCTAAATCTAAGTATCCTGTCTGTTTGTCTGTTGTCCCATGATGGTATATAAAAGACTGACTTTTTTTAAAAAATGGATCATCAATATTTAACCTCTAAACAAATTTAGACCAAACTTTATTCTTTCTATTTTTCTTAACATGTATTCTGCTGTCTTTGAAAGCAATAGATCAGACCAAAGGACTCTCTCTACCAATTAAATAACAGCTCAATTCTCCCTATAATCAATATGCCCTTATCGGAGGTGAGCAAACAGTGGTGAATTTTTGTGACTTTACAACAATTCTCAAACAATACCATTACTTCGACCTGGGGCTGGGAATAGACCTTGCTTTCCAAACCCATCATGCTGTTAACAGTTTGCTAAATATGTTTGAGTATTCTTCAATTGTTCTGCAGTTCAAACGAGTAAGTCTTTGTGGACCAAAAATTGAAATTACCATGTTTGATCCAAACAGGGACTTTTGGTGTATACATACAACCATTAGCACTGGGTGAGAATCTTTAAGATGTTTAACAGGTTGACTGAATCAATATTTGGCTAGTTTACCTCAACAATGCTATTTAAACATCTTTTCCACCCAGGTCTCTGTGCTCTTCTAAAGCCTTGTTTGACTATTTACAAGGTGTAATACCCCAATGATTCATATCTAGAGCAGTAACCATCAAACGCAAGTATACCCCAAAAACTGACAAAAAAAATATTAAATCAACAGGAAAATATAAACGACTCTTTGGTGGGAAATGTCAAAGACGCATTTCTCTATTGGTTCTTTCTAAGACAAACTGGAACCTTACGAGTCTGTTTTATGTGGCTTTCATTATTTCCCAACTGCCCAAATAATGTATTACCTAATCCCTAGTCTAACTAAAGTCTTTGAAAAGTGCCAACTAAATTACGCTACGTCTACAGTTTACAGCTGTCATTAAAATATGACATTCTTGACTTAAAACCATGGAACTCCTCATGTACCAAAATTCTGCACGTATGAATTCATGTCCTCTTTTTTCTTTCTTTTAAAACTTTTTATTGAAAAAAAAAAAACATATTGGAAAAAGTATACAAATAAGGCATTTACTTTGTCTACAGATTTTCCAGTTATTAATGTTAATGTGAGAAACATACGCTACAGCAGTGATGACCTATGCTCTCTGCCATTCCAATGAAGTAACAGTACAACACTAGAAACAGTCATGCACTAGAACATTGAATCGAAAAAAGCAAATACGGCTACAGAAAATGTCCATGTAATCCTACTCTGTCTACCAACAATAAAAGCCTACCAAGACAAAAATAATCAAAGCTTTTTATTTTATGTACAGTTTTCTTTTCTTTTCAGTGGATATAAGGATAAGAATCTGTTCTTTTTAAGAAGGTTGTGTTACAGAGGGCTAGGAAAAATAGCTGGTCCAAATTTAGATGCAGTGTAAGACTTCCACCAAAAAAAATTACCAGACAAAAAAAATTCCTGGATTATAATTCACTACCACTGAGTACAATCTACAATATTGAAAGCTAGCTGGCTTTTTATTGGTCTAGATGTTTTGGTCTAAGTTTTGTGAGGCTAGATTTGATTGGCTATCTACTAAGTCATGTTATATACCATCATGGCAACAGATCCAGACTTCATGGCCTGCATCAGTTCATTCCTGAAATATACAAGTCATCAGTTTATATAAAGAATTCAGAAACCATTAACTGCTTAGCTTTCTGAAAAACTGAAGATAAAAATAAATTATATGTGCATCCTTGGAATTTCATCTCCAATTGAACATCATTTACAGCTATTTTGCAGATAAAAGCATACTGCCTTCCCACATAATTAAATACAAAATTTAGAAACATGATGAGCTCTACAAAAGTTCTATTTATTCGCTGGGTGTGTAAATATTCTTAGATTAGTTGGATTGGATCCAGAGGAAAATACGTCAATTTCTTTTTTCCCTGCACTTTGTATCCCCCGAGTGTAGATATTCACACTCAAACCAACATATACAAAGAGGCATCCCTAATGAGGGAGAAGGCTACAAATTTTCCAACAATTATAAACTTTACCCATGCAAACCTTCCAGATTAAACATAATCTCTCTAATTTCACAGCTAGGAAATGGGGAAAGCATCTGGTTTGGTGAACTATGGGAGACTTCCTCTAAGTAAACACTTTCTGTAACTGCGGTGTAAACAGTATTAGCTGCTCCCTGCAAAATAATTCCTATTAAATGAACAGTAATTTTGTGATGCTGCATAAACTAGAATATTTTTTTTTTTTAATGAAGAGAACAGGTACCCCCTTGTTTTAAGCTATGCATGTATTTGTTTGATGATTTCATTTATCTTTAATGCATCTTTATATGATAAAAAAAACTTTGGGGTATTGAAATTCAAAAAAAACTTGTAGACATTTAAAAAAGAGCCAATTCTCAAGAGCATTCACAGATCAATGTGAGAAAAAGTGAAATGATTGCTGTGTTTTCTGCCATGTGATCTGTCACTCTGTAATCTTTATAAGTTTGGTACCAAGGTCCTGGACAACTGAGGAATTTAGATGGTGGATCCGGCTTTCTCTTTTATTTAACCTTGTAACCCGGTTCATGTTGTTTTAGTTTTAGCATTTATCATCTGTATGAAGTGTGTTCCTAAGACTTGTGCAAACATGTTCCACCATTTTCCAGATATATGTGAAAGGAATTTTTCATTGATTTCACATATCAGCTAGACCAAGATAGAAATATCTCTGAAAGTGGCCATAGCTTTGCTTACTTTGATTACAAGTCAATGGCAAATTAATAGTGCCCCAAGTTTTTACATTTTCCTCAATCAGGCTATAGGTTGGGTAATTTAACTTCTATAAATATTTATTACTTTTTTCCTATTTTTTTTCTACTGAGATACACCCCTCTTCAATGTCCAATAAAGACTGGTTCTAATGACCGGTTGCTAGTGATAATGACACTGCAGCATCAGACCTAATCATTGGAAATCCATAGGCTACTGGCATCACTTTCTGGCAGTTTTTGCATGCAGTCTGTGATATCATCAAAAAAGCACCTGTTCTCAGAATTCTGACACAGCCAATACTGTGCCTTATCATCTGCTTATCAGAATTTAATCCGTAGATATCTCCAGCTAAGTCGACAGGAGTGCACATTACTTTACCTCTCATCTTATACATCATCTCCCCTATCCCAAGATTACCTATTTTACTCGGGGCCATAATGGATCCCAGCAAGGGGCCAGTGTTATAGGCGCCTATAAACATGGCTTCCCATCTCCAAATTATCAACAGCCTGCAGGATTGAGCTCAGAAGCTTTACAGGGGATTTCTCCATGGTAGATCACCATTCCCAATCAGCGCCATAGAACACCACTTGCCTTTATATCTTAAAGCTACCTTTCAGACCATACTGATAAAAAAACCAACAGTTACATTTTAAATAATATCTTCCAATAAACCTTGAAATTGGTTTACTAATTACCTCAGACAACTGATTACAGATAAAAAAAAATTTAAAATCGATGTTTTGGCTAATTGCATGAGAGCCTTGTTGGTTTCCCATTATGATATACTTGGAAGCCTCTGCCATCTATAATTATTTTTTGCTTCTTATTTGATGCAATGTGGAGATTCCAATGCCATTAAATCAATATTACACAGGTCCTGAAAATCACACCAGAGCCTAACTGTTTTGATAATGAAATCTTAATCCCATCATCATCCTTCACTCAAGAGCTGCAGGCTCTTCGGGAAAACTCAAAAGAATGCCAGGCTACCATTAATTAACAAGTGCAAACTCAAATCTCCATGGGGCTCCATTTTATAAATTCTTAAAGATATAAACACACTTCAGAACATGTGCATCTTCTTCTAAACAGGAAATGTGAATCTTCAGATATAAAAAACACACCTGACTTCTTCAACTCTTAATTACACCTACAAAATATTTTATGGAGGTAAAAATATTGCCTTTCTGCTATTTACAATGTGTTATTCCTTCACTAGCCTTAAGATCCTTTGAACCATAAAATACAATCAATACAATATGGGAAATTTATTGAAATACAGATGTTTAAAACAATCGAAAATGATGACGTCCAGAAATTTATACGCAGCAGAAAGATGAAAGGCTATTACGATAAAATTGGTTCATCTGCCAATGGAAATCTAATTTACATGTTTTTTGTTGTACATCAATTTGAGGAATAGTCCTCGTGTGACAACGATAAAATGTGTCTTGTAAGCCGATATTATATAATTGAAGCTGACATTTTCCTTTCAAATTCATTTGTGATTCTGCTATTACCGAATCCTTCTAGACAATCACTCTAGCTCTGATTTGTGGTAGCACATCATGAAATGTCATTATCGCATGTTCTTGTTGCCTAGCAATGTCCTGGGGGCCAGCAAAAGATGTCTGCTCAATAGTTCTCCTCCTCTTGTTTTTTCGTTCTACCTCCTAGCAACATCCCTGACCTGCGTATTTCAGGCAGCCATTTTTCTATTTTGATCCTAATGTATCAAACATTAAAGTAAATTCATTTGCATCAATGTGGGAGGGGGCACATTAAAAAAACATTTCCCAATATAAACTGCTATGACTGTGTGAATGTTCTGCACTAGATTGTTGATAAATGAATTGAAAATGTATATATTTTACTTTGAAGAAAAAAAATAAGGCAGTAAAAAATCTGAAGTAAACAACCCAAAGACTAAATGTTGGAAATTGCTCAATACAGAAAACCCATAATATTTTTTCACTGTAAAAAGAGACCAATTCCTCTTGTGGTAATCTGTGGACAAACAGAGCTGGTTGAGAGGTACTAGATATTGTCAGGGCATGACAGATCACTGTGTTAGTACTGGGTATTAGTCCTATCATAGAGCAAACACAGCTTAACATTCAACTTTTGTGTTCCCTAACATTGCTGGACCTAGTAACCAAAGA